CTGGGTAAAATAAATGATCTTATTATCGCAACCATTACGCGCTTCACAGACCCCACACCTGCCACTCCTTATTACTTTATTGTATAGTATAATAATAGAGAGTATAATGAATGGGTAACTTTTGTTAATAAATAATTCTACGAAGTTTATCAGCAGAGTGCACAGTTAAGGCTCAAACAAGAACTAGGACATGATATACCTAATTAGTATATGTAAAATTTTGTTTAATTGTTTTTCATATCCTTATTATTCATAAAATCATTTATATATCAGACAAAAACCAAACTTGTTAATTAAGTACAAATAAATGGAAGTGGAACGTCTCCAGTCCTTCATATTTATGATTTATGTGAAGTAACAAAAATACATTTATGATGATTCATTTGTCGGAGGTCTTGTCTGTTGATTAAAATAAATATTTCTGAAGTCTACCCACAAATTTCTTTGCGCTCAGTAAGCAGCGCCGAGCCGGCAAGTTTCGACCGATGCCTATATGACGTATTCGTCTGGGACGGCAATACGCCTGCGCGAATTCTGAGGGGCGCGATTACCAGTGCCGGTCGCGCCGGTAGCCACGCGGCACGCGTGCTCTCTTGTCGCCGCCCGCAACGAGTCGATCGATACCGCAATACCGAAAAACGCCGTGCGCCGTACGCACCGCGCATCGTACGCCTCAAACCGTGCTAAACTTAGAGTAAAGGTGCACCGTTGCATCAAACGTACCATACCATTCTATCTCACAAGTGCCTCCTCGTGTAGACGAAAAATCGTTAGCACGCTTGCCAAAAAAAATCTTCCCGTTAGTGTTGTTATAATATTTGTGTATCCTACATAATTGGGTGAAACATTCAATAAATCTACCGTTAGTGTTTTACATGTTTTAGTCTCATTCAAAATTAGTCCTATAAGAATATTTAGAAGATAAATTGGCAAGCCGTGGCTTTATCGACCAGGGGTGGTTCGGGAGCCAGGGTACACAAGACGCGACGGCGCGTCGCGGCGCCTCCACGCGCAACAGCTGTGAGCCAGATCTGTTATCTTGACCGTGAGAGAGCATAATTATTGTGTTCATTGTTGTGTAGTGTAGTACTATACCAAATTAAGATATAACACTAAATATGTATTTATTTACTTTCATCTTTATTGTATTTAGCGTTATATTTAATCTGCATCTTTAGCGCAATTTGCAGTAAGTTTCTCTTATAACATTAAATTAACGCAAAGGTTGAATTCAAACATTGTTTCTCTCAGTTTATGTTTGTAGAGGTTGTAAAATAGTCGATACTAATATCGGCTTTCAAACCTTTACACGTGGGCCTCTTTCTACATGATATAGACATTGATTTGCAAGACTACTTTTATGAGCCATTGATGTGACGCTTCTGATTTCTCAACGATTAGTAAGTTAGCGGGCATCCTACCTGCATTTCTCTAAAGAATGTGAGTAAATACGCAGTCACACACAGACTAAGGCGTAACCTATTGTTCTCAACTCATAGTAGTGGTAATGTCTGCCATGTATATGCCAAAACGGTTGTTGCTTGAAAATAAACGTTTTATGGATGCCTGCTGCATAAAAAAACAGCACCCTGCTTCGTCTTAGAAAAGGCGTTAAATTTATCATAAAAAAAGATTTTATTTCAAGGAAGTAGCTTATTCTATTCAAGTTTTTTTTAAATTCTGGTATGTATTTATTTTTATGTTTAACTAGTACCTACTTATGTATCTCGATGTAAAATATGTCCAACATGGTGTTAATCCAACATGGTGTCTAAGCACCCTTATCGATTTTCCATCCCAGCCGCCGCCATTTATGTTTGCCTTGTATTATATTGTATTTTAAAAGACGTTTTAAGGATATCGTGTTGCGCTATTATAATGGATTCATTACAATACTTCATATTGTACCTGAATCATGAAGAGTCATTATTGCCAGTGAATAAATTATTACTAGGTACTAGCCAAAATGTTTTATCATCGTTTCAATGTTTAATCTTCTGATCCGCTTTCCAGATTTCAATTTTGGTTTGCATATCTCATGAAATATAACGGTTTTTGTCTTTTTTTAAATATAACATTTTGTTTGGGGTCGGTTTTTAAAGCCTATATTCATTATTCATTATAGATAAAATTTAAGAAGAAATTAGAATTGGAATCGGAATAAGGAACAGCCCACGTATGATAGAAAAAGATAATTTTTCTTGCATAACTTTGATCCTCCATCTGTCGCATAATTATTCCCTTTAATATTATAGAACATGTACCACAATAGGCCTCGCTATAGCATATTGCCGATCCAGACTTAGGTTTTACGGGTGATACACGCATGCGCCATACGGGGCTGGTGTTCTAAAATTGCGATAGTGACGGCAACCTTTGCACCAAATACTTACGTGTCCATGTAAGATTGAAACCTCTATATATGTATATTTAAAAAGTAGGAAGTCTATTCCAAGTTCGCCCAATATATCACTGGTAGTGGTGATTGTGTACTTAACCTATGTCCTCTTTATTTTTAGTTATAATGATAAACTCTTTTCACTTAAAGAAGAACCTTTGTTACAATTATTAAATTTTAATATAGTTATTCATACTCTAGCTTTGCTTTTAGTTTGTGATAACTTTTGCATAGTTAGAACACAGAGTGAGCCGCATTGATAAAGTAATTATAACACTATGTATTTTCTTATCACTTGTATTCTGTTATCTATTTCAGCTTATCATAATTTAGTTCTTTGTAAGTTTATAACTAGCTCTTTTAAATAATTCATAGTATGTAGCTCCGGTATGACGTTGGTATGACTCGTATTGTAAGTGTAGAATGTTAATTTCAGCTCAGTTATTGGTATAGTATCGACGGAAGTGAACGTGGCCGACGGTTCGAGGCGTGGATTTGTTGCGATACCGTTCATATGTGTCGTGATTACTTAAATAGCGTTCTACCTCAGTACTGCAGACACCTGCATTTGATCGTGAAAGTTTTATCACTGGCCTCAAACACTACTACCGTTACTAAAAGAAATCGCTTTGTTTTGAGATAAAGGTTGTTTTGTGTGTATTTCATTTGTTATATTAATATTTACATTGTCATTCGATGGTCTAATCTTAAGCTGACTGACCGTGTTTTGAATGTCATGTAATTTTGTAAAGTGATGTGCAATTAAAGTAGAACTCATGTGATGTGGATGTGTGTACAGTTTTACCTAATCATTATTTACTCGACATCATTGTAAGACGGCTTACGATTTGTGTTTAATGGTGAGGGTTATTCACAGATTAGTGCAAATATTTGCAATGTTAAATCAAATTATCTTTTAAATTTTATAATAAACAGTTGATTTTTGTGTATCCTAAAAGTAAATGTTTGTCCAAAGAGTGTCATCAACCAATAGCGACACCCATCGAATCAAGTTTATTTAAGAACACGTCTGACAGCGCCTTGGCGGTTTGAGTACTTTGTGGATTGTACGTGAGTACAGGGCTGCGGTTACGTCACATTTATTTTAACCCACTTTCGTTTTATAAAAAAAATTGCGAGCAAATTCTAAGATCAATGTCATTGATATAGTAGTAACGTAATAAATTGGTCATCTAAAGTGGTCTAATGTACCTACATAAAAAGTTTGTTTTAAGGTTAATTCACAACATATAAGTTCACTTCAAACCTTCAAAAAAAGAGCGAACTCCTTCCTAAAAGGCCGGCAACGCGCTTGTGACTCCGAGTTGCTGGCTTTCATAGGCGGCGGTAGTCACTTTCCATCAGGTGACCCGTCTGCCTGTTTGCCATTAAAAAATAATGATATTCATAGACCAAACGTAATAGTGAGTTTTTACCACTAACGAGGCAATTGCCGTAGCCTATAAATATTTACAAGATGACTCACCAAAATTGTGAATTGCAAATATAATGGGTAACTTTGAAGAAATATTAAGTAAATTATAGATACAGAATAATATCTAGTCGGTTTCCAATTTATTTTAATTTAATATAACACTTTAACATTAATTAAAAGACGAAAATATTCTATTTTAACTTATAAAATTATATATAAAGCAAAATAGAATAACCAGGGAAAACCTTGATACGTTATTAAATTATTAGAGTGAGAAGTAAAACATAAAATGACTAACAATCCTTTTTTCCGTCTCAGACAAGACAGCCTGCTAGTTAGCAATTCGCTACTGAACTCACTAAATATTCAATCATGAGGACAAGGTGCCGTATGATGCCTTTTTTTAAGTAGTTTTGGATAGTAAAACTAATAAATACTCAGTAAGATAAATGCTTTCTCGTTTTTTGTACCGGTGATTTGATATACAGTATTTTAAATATTGTTATAATATTGATGGTACTCAGCTGTACCAATGTTCTCTCTATAGTCAGTATACTGTATGCGATCTAAGAGCTGATTTTCACAGATTACTTACGTATATTTCAGTTTATCGAAACGTCTTGAATAATAGAAGGTTACCGGTAACAGACAAAGTTAAGGCTGAATTGTTACGAATAATTTCATTTATTTAGTTTTTTATACTTCAAAATTACCTAGCAATGGTTTTCAGTGAGATTCTAAAAATAAACTTGGCAGAAAAATATTTTATTAAAAAGATCTTTGTAATATAGGTTTTTATTCTTTTTTCTTTTTTTGTTGACGGGATGCAAAATCCCTTCGAATCTCCAGCTCATTGGGTGCAAAGGAGTCAGAAGTATGTGGTGTTTCCACTAAAAAACACCTGAGAGGCCCACTCTAAAAACACCCGGACCATGTGATTTCAGGTCCTCCCCGAATCGACAATACGCAAACAAAAATTGAAGCGGTTGACAGGCATACGACACAAAGGTAAACAGTTAAGAATAGCTGCTTTGTTTTTGCCTATTTATGTATGTACATAGTAATGTAGTTAAGTACCTAATTAATGTAGGTGATGACTTTGTTCATGTAGTTACGTAATAACATACATATAAACAACATGAAAATTAATTACACAGATCAATAAATATGTATATTTTGTGGGTACCGTTCGTCTTAAGAAAAAAGGACCCCTTACAGAAAGCAAGAAACAAGAAAATGAGACCATTTCATGACACACCGCAAAAAATATTAAAGCCAAAAAGCTACATGCCTACTTTCACCGCGTGAGTCCACGTGTCATTGTCGTATGACACTGACATGACAATTCAGTGCCACGTTTTTGGTCAGACCATGAATATTTTACATTGCTAACCTAAATAACTTCATGAATTTAATAATTAAATAGTAAAAAACACATCCTATTTTACATAGTAAATGAATTTAACCCTACGACCTTAAATATTTACGAGTATTACTAAGGGTCTTAATTGTACTGTGTTGGATATGGATAGGTCCCTCTCGTCTGTCTTTTTTTCAGGGACACATGAAGGTATCCATTTGAAATAGACAGATCGCGCAGATCTAAATCGCAGCTGCGGTTCCTTGAAGCTGTAATAAATAAAATCAAATCAAATCAATCAATAAATTCAAGCTGTAAAAATCGCAACTAGAAGAATCGGACTTTTGATATATTTAACCGATATATCAAAACACTATATCCCATAATTTTAAAATAATTAAAAATTCAAGTTTGCCCTGCTAATGTTATGGAAAAATCCAAAAGTAATTTGTATTTTTTTTTGAAAAAAAAACGAACTAAAACCTATGGATTTTCGAAATGGATTACCAAGATAGGTACTCCATACTATTTCCATACAAGTTTATGTGTTAACGGAAACCCCGGTTCCGCGTGTCTGACTCGAACTTGTCCAGATTCCTTCGTAACTGAATCTGGCAGGTCTTCGTCGATTACGTCGGATTATGTTTAGTTTCATATTAAAGCATTAGTCACACTTTGATTCTAAAATACGTAAGTGTTTAAATCCTTCTTAGCAGGCACATAGTGAACATTTTGTCGCTGAACGGTAGATGGAATTTCTACAAAAGCATCTTAAAACCAAACGGGATTAAATTGATTTATGCTGAATTTAGGTAGTGTCACTTTTTTAACCATCTAATGTCTTTATCTCTCAGTTTAAGGGCCTGGCCCTTGTCCGTGAAGAAATCGCCTCGCCTGTCTGTTTTCTGTGATCTGTTGGACCGCTTGATCTAATGTCTATGGTGACCGCGCTGAACCGCGCAACTTCGTCTGCTTCTTTCAAAAGGAATAAATATTGCTTGTTTTCGCAACATTTCTCATTGATACTCGACTCCTATTTTTTTTTAGATCTTTTTAAGATAAACAATTCCGTAGCACATTATTTTGGTCTATCTCGTAAGGTATAGCCAGAGTTTGCAATGCGCAATGAAATCCTCGGATTTTCTCTACTATAATATGCATGTATGATACAGAAACCTTCCTCTGGAATCACTCTCTCTATTGGTGAAAACCGCATTGAAATCCGTTGCTTAGTTTAAAAATCTAAGCGTACAACACAAAACAGCGACTTTATTTTATACTATGTAAAGATATTATAATCGAAGAAGTCATACAACGACAATTTTTATAGCTAAACTAGCTGACCCGCTCTACTTCGTTGGTAGGACGGTAAAAAATACTTTAAAATACCATCAAATCGGGCAGATTATGGACTCTTAAAACATTATCAAAAATTGTTTCGATCATCCATACCTATTATGATTTGTTTAACTGGTATCAGTATCTCTACGGCGTTGTTTTACTTCCATTAATATATTGGATCGAGTATAAACACGATTGCTGTATTGGGTAAAATGTTATTAATACAATATGTTCAACACTGTCTTCAAATTCCATGACAGCAGTATTTTAAATTCTCGAGGTTTTCGTGTAAGTTCTGTTTTATTGCTTTAAAATTAGTTAATTATGTTGATCAGTCATTTGCGACGGTTACGTATGTTATGCGGTTTTATCAAATTGTGTAACGGTACTCTTTGTCTAAGGCCAAATCATGACGTACCTAAATCAGTTGAAGGAAGGAAGGCTAATAGTATCTTACAAAGATAAACGGCTATTAACAATGACCATGACCACGAAGTAAAAACATTGAATTATTTTATTGAAACAATGCATACAATACAATTACAATGAAATAGTGTCTTAAATTAAACTAATGGTCATTAAATGCATTTTTGATGTTTATAAAAAACGATTTATTTATCAAAAAGAGGTATCGGTTTTGACGTCGAGATAGGCTCACGTGTTAACTGGCCTTCATTTACCTAACCAACCACTTCAATAAGAATCCTTTACTTGTGCTTCTTAATCTATAAAAAAAATTATACCTACCTAATCGTTAAACATGTTAACAGTATTGTTTGATGTTAAGTGTAAAATCTATGGACAAAATTAGGTAGGTTTTAGTGTTTACAATAACATGACGAACATGTTATGTTTGTTAAGGTTACTTATAAAATTATAGACAATTTGATAGTTACACCCTTTTGACGTTTTTTTTTAATTTGACCGCGAAACTTTAGACAAACATCAACACAAGTATCCATAAGCAGAAATGTAATATTTTCACAAAAAATCATTTGGGAATTCCTAATTCTTACATTTTATTTATTTATTACATTATATTTTATTTATTACATACATATATATACATTTTATTTATTACATTATATATATAATAAGGAATTCACTGTGAACGGGATTGTAAAGGCGAATTTTTTGGTCGAAAAGTCTATTTCTTGATGCTTGGTATTGCCTTGAACTGTTAGAAATATATCAAGTGCATGGACTCTGACATCATCGTGGATGATTTGCGGTCCATTTATTATTATTTATTAGCATACAGAAGTACCAGGTACTACTTATAAAAATGTATGACACGATAGGAATAGAATAGCAATTGTCTATTGTTTGCGATTACCCTGTTCAAAAGAAACATTTATTAGGTTCAGTTCAAGATCTCAAGTCATTGAAAAAGTCGTCACTAGTTTTCAGAATAAAATAGAGAATATTATCACCGAGATTTGTGACATTCTAAACATTTTGAACTAGGTAGGTCGGCTATAAAACCATAAATTATAAGTATAGCTATAAACTAATAAATGATGATCAAATCGAAACATTAAAGGATACACAATTAAATTAAATATTTTACTAATTGAGTAAATTTCATTCAATATGAACATACTACAACATTTTTAAGGAAGAAACCACAAAATCTTGCAACGATTTACAAATCTCTGAATTTCAAATAACAGGTGACAGTCGATAATACTCTTGATTAAAGTAACATTTTTTTTTCTTGGCAATGGATCCTGGTTGACCTATACCTGTATTAATATTAACGCTAAAATAGTTAAAGATAAATCGTGCGCCATAATCGTGTTTCACATGTTATGAATTTCATAAGAGTTAATTTAAGCAGCTCGCTTGGCCACCCGAGCGTGCTGCAGATATTCACTAGCTGCTTATACCTGTCAGACGTGTTCGATTACCTCCTCAAATAAGTGTTCGATACGATTTTATAGGTATTAGTCAGTGTAAATATTGGTTTTAGAGCTGTGTAAAATGGTTTGTCAGGTGATTCCACAAGAGACTATAAATCGCAGACATTGGGCATCAATATACAATGAGTGAATAAAACTGTAGTGGACAAAATAGCATCGCCGTCGGTAGTGAGGGAGTGATCGCCGGCGTGAGGCGGGCGGAGCAGATGGTCGCGGCTCGGGCACGTCACGGCGGAGGGCTGTGCCGGTTCGGGCGCGGGGTGCGCGGACGATTCGCGCGCCTCGCCGCCACCGGGCTTCGATCGCGAGCTCTTCCAGGAGTTAAGCTATCTACCCGACGCAGAACTACGCGAGTGCCTTGGCGAATACCCCGACTTCCTGTACCACGTCGCACGGGACAAATTTGGCAGACTTTACTTTCGTGTCATCAGGACATTGCTCCTTGATAGAGGTATATCATCATGTAGCCGAGCTCGGTGTCACTATCACCTCATCGTTCTTCTCAACCTAACGTCTTATCATGATTGCGCTTTTTCTTCTAATCTGTCACCCTGTGATTTGCATACCATTTACTTTTTAAGTGCTTATTAACGGAATTACGTATTAATTTGTGTAATCTCGAGAAACAATTTAGGGATTGATCATTTCGTTGACTATATATTAGTATCGAAATCGTTTCCGGCCAGGTATTACACAGTACAACAGCTGTTTAAAAATATGGAATTTTAAAGATTTTTGACCTTTATATATAGACAAGTAAATATCTTAAATACCAATATTTTTTGCATCCATTCTTTAATTAAATACTTTTATTTTGTGTGTACCTTCTACTTCATTTATGTAAATATTACGCACTATGCACACGCATGCATGATATTTTGCTATTATTATATTATATATATTTCAACCATATCTGGCATAGAACTGCTCTAATAATGACTTCTGGACTCACTACTGCGATGTTAATGAATACTTACAGCTTTATTAAATTAAATAAATATCACACAAGAGGTTATTAACCAATAATCTTTAAATTATATGTATAATTTCTTGCAATCTTAATTTTATTGGTTATTATAATAGTTGGTACTTTTACATACAGAAAAAGTGACGCTTGTAATATATATTTGTAATAATGTATTAAATATACATTACTTTAATGAAACACTGCAAAATACTTCAATTTTCCGGGTGGAATTTGTCTATGCAACATTTTTCGTTAGTATAATAAGTAAGTTCGTAAAATAGTTACAGTACCCACTGCTTTTTGTTTTTGTGATGCATCATGGCGGCATTGAATATTTTTTTGTGAAAAGAGCAGTGAAATGTCCTTGCGAAAACTTAAGAGAGAAATATAAGATATCCTTTGTTATTTAGGATTTTTATTAAACCCTTAATGTCAGTGATACCCTACATGAATGATATCACCCAATGTTTAAATGATATGTCGGGGTTTAGTTGACTACATAATGAAAGGCTAATATATAATGTAGCGATCAATTCTGTGAACTGCCACGACACATACATTACAACTTTTTTTTTTATTAATTTTTATTTACAACTTTATGCACTTATGTACAACGGCGATCTTAATGCCCAAGGCATTCTCTACCACCCAACCTTTGGGGGGTGTAGAAATCTGGTGAGGTAGCTGCACTAAGGATGCAGTTGCTATAGCAGTTATAACTAACATATACAATTACACACATACATACACACATACACGCATATACATATATAGATATAAATACACATAAAATACATATACTTTACATTCGTACACTGTAAATATGGAGGTATACTTTTGAGTAGGTAATTCCGCAGGCTGAAGAAAATAGTTATGTACATGCTTTTTAAATGTGAAACGGCTTGTGGACATCCTGATATCCATTATAGTGTAAGAGCTTTTTGTCCTGGCATGGATAATTTATTTGAGGTACTGTGGCAAGTTGTATGGTATCGTCTGTATTATCTAAAAGCGTAATCGGCCAATCATGTTTTGCAGGGAACATGTTTTATTCTCTCTCTATTATTATAGTTATGCTATAAGTCAAACCGATTGCCTGGTAGATAAAAAGACTTCAAGGATCGTATGTCTTTCAACAGATATGATAATTTGAATGGACACATTTTTCCTTTTACAAATAACTTTGGAACTATGAACTATTCGGTGCTTTTCATTTCATTGGTTACTAAACTTTGAGGGTAGTTATTACTTTAAGATGACCTATGAAGGGCTTTTGTAAATAAAGTTTAACCTTTTTTAAACGTTGACAATTTAAAAACATTCTCACGGTGTCTACGAGTTCAGTATCTGAACTCATCAACCAGATGTTAGATATCGTATTAATTCGTCATAAAAGATATATTACAAAAATGTCCACGTGCCTCAAATACTTTCCATAACTGTCTGGATCTGGAAATTCTCTCTGTTTATGTTCACAAAATCGCTACAGTACAAGCGGCGTTTCTGTCCGTGAATCACACGGTCACAGTTACGGGTTTGTTTCAAATGTAGACGTGTCAGACCATGATCGCAGCTCTCAAAAGAATAGAAAAATGCCATGAGCACTTCACGTACTGGCAATAGCAAAGATTTTTCTTACGGAAAATACTACAAAAACTGTGAGTCTTCCAGTATCATGCGAGAGATACAACCACGAACAATCGATATCCGTTGTAATCGTAGTATTAGGTAAGCGACTTGGAAAAACTCCGCATACCTCTACAGCATTCAACGGTCTTATTATTGCATTCAGTTCCCATAACTTTTTATTCTGGAAAACAGATTCGCCGTTAAGACGACTTCTAACGTAACTCGTTTAGTTTACAGTTAAAATACGAGACTGTACAGTACGAACGATGCTGAGGCATCTTAGCCGCCTTAGACTTTAACAAATAGCGGTACAATACTTAATGATCATTTTGTGAATACAAATATAATACTAACATCTCAACATATACAGCCAATGAATTTGTCTTCCAACTAACATTGCAATAGACCAACCCACTGCAAAATTACAGCAACTGCAAAAATGTTTTACATAAAAAAAGACAGAAGTTGATGAAATTTTCAAAATGAGATTAGTACATTTATAACTGAAACTTTAAAAAAGGTACTTTATAGAAATATTTAGTAAAATTATGAATGTTGGTAATCTCAAGGCTACAAATAGATAATAGGTGGCGCGTAATTAAGTTAAACACATTTTATTAAACAATGATTAACTAACTTAAATTTAATTATTAAACGATATTTAAATTATGTTGCCTTCCCTTTTACCTTTTCAATGTACTCTCAATTTTCATAACTGAAATTCCCGTAGTAACGGGTTAGCCCGGCCACGTGAGCGAGACTAAATTTATAATAACTGCCAAAATTATTTAATAGGGCTTTGTGTATTCTCTTAAATCAAATCTCTGTCCGGATTTCCGGTCGGTTGTTGTCCGGTTTTAATTTGACCCTACAGCAATAGTAAACCAAATATACAAAAAAATATATATTTAAACAGCTGCAATACAGATGCAGATAAAACAATACAGTCAAATCGATGTTATAACGTTCCGTAATTTGACAGAACAATTTTTTTTTGCCATTAACATTAACTTATGCTATTCAAGAACTGTTGTCCGTGGTAATATTTAGTTACATAGGAATAAGATAATCGAAAATTTACGAGAAAATTTACTATTTTCTAAGTTTTTTATTGATTTGACGTAGTGTCGTAGTTTAGCATATTTGTAGTCCAGATAAAAAACTGAGATGTGAAATGAATTAGATACCTAATTGATTCCAATATTTTCCAATGGCCTATTGTCTAGGCTATCTTACCATTAGTATATTTTGTTATCATTCGTTTTTAAGATGAAAATATTCTATTATTGCTATAAAGTATGGAAAGGGTCAACAAGAAAGTATTTAAGATAACAATAAACGGAATTTACGTAAATTGGAATGGTTGTTTACTTTAAATTCACCATTATGTGTTTACAAAAATAAACTTGAAATGAATTAAGTGAATTACATTTTAGTTTTGAACTCGAGTGGGAATCGAAAGTATATTACGGTAACAATGTGTTTGAAACATGAATAAATACCAAATTACTAGTAAAAAGGTCGATGTGTGTATCTTTTGTAATCTAGTTTTCCCACATAATGTAGTCAACAATGGGATAGTACGTTTTACCTGCCCTCGTCAAGCAAGCCTACACTTCATTGAATCGTGCGTGCGTGCTCAGTCACTAACTTGATCAGGTGCTATGCGCGCGCGTTACTTTGTCACAAGCCTTACAATATACTGTTTATGGAAGAGATTCATGATCGGACAGTGCCATTCTTCGAACCGTTGAATTCATGTTTAATGTTACATCTTGGGAGCTTCAGAACAATAAGAGTTCGATGAACGCACAAACTCTAAATACTCACAATATACTTCGTTAGTAGATAATTTTAAGTAGAACAAGTAGTAACAATGGCTTAGCCCTAGTAGTTTAAAAGACAATCATATCTTATCATTGTGATTAAAGCCGGGCACAGCGAACCCAAATTCATTCAGTGTTTACATTCAAGTGAGAGCTTAAACGCGATGATTTGCCATTACATATCACAAAATGTAATATTAAATTATGCGCCCGTTGTGTCCGTTTTCCGTGCATTGTTTTATTATGCAGTGTGATGTGTTAGTCTTAGAATTGTAATATGTTTTCTAAAAATTATTCACCTGGATTTGCCAGAAGACTGAGCGGATCGGGCGACTTCATGGCATCAAATGGTTTGTTGTTATTGTGTTTAATTTTCTCAAAGATGTGTCATAAAAACAGTAAAATATTTACCCCGCTAATTATTGCTTGTTTAGAAATAGTTTGACAAAATTTTATACTTTCTAATTAGCCGTAATCGATTTCGCAATTATACATTAACAAAAATGATGATTGTTCATAATGAAATGGAATTTTCCTAATGGAAGTAAATGATTCTACTTTGCGATCAAGGTAAATAAAAACTGCAAAATTACCTGTGAAGAAAGACTTGTGAGCCGTAAACTGTTATACATCAATTGATTTGTGCTATTTTTGCCTTATGAATTAATCTTTCCTCCTACGTGAATTATATTTAAATCATACGCCATTGACCCAATTAAGCACCACTCCTATATTACAGCAGCTTTCAAATTTAATTTAGCAGAAGTGCCTAAGAATAGAAGAATAAGAATAAGACATTGTAAGAGTAGGTACATAGAGAACATTTGAGTGGCTTAACAAGATATCTAGGTTTTAACAGTTCCAACTCACGTTTTTGATGGAGAGAACTTTCCTCTTTTAAATATTTGATTTTTTCATTCATAAAAAATAGTTACGATTCAAAGATAAAAAAAGATCTTTTAAATTCATGTCAATTTTGAAAAATAATGAAAATTAAGTTTTTTTTATAATTACGTCTGAAACTCACATAAGTAGTATAAATAGTATTCTATAAAGTACAAAAGAAACCTAAAACTGACCTAGAGTAAAAACCACGAGTTTTAATAATCGAGAATAAATTACACAATCTAAGTTCTAGACATTTTACATAAAGATAATATCAGATTTCAGAAAATCTTACTTAGTAGTTCAATGACAAATACCATATTTGTGTTAAGTATATTGGAAAACAAAAACGTGTTACAGGTGTTTACTTCAATACTAATAATGTTTTATAACTTAGTTGACAGCACAAAAAGTACTTTAAACTTGACGTACTCGCAAAATAGGTGTGCATTAATATTTCTTGTCTTATCGAGTATTTATCTAAAGAAAACAAGTACCAATATCGAAAGTAGTTTCTCTGGATACCTTTGCTCGTTTTCAAATCAGTATAATAAGAATGCAAGTACCAAACCTCAGTAACGGAACCAGTTTTTCAACTTTATTAAAATCTATTCGGTAGGGAAGGTGCATTTTAGAGACGGCTTAAGTGGGAGTTGAATTCCGAGTATGGCGACATTATAGAATAATCTAGAACGCTTATACACTCATATATAACTTATTTGTGTACTATCATTGTTTTAATGTGTTAGGTTTTTATCGGCCGCCTTACTCTACCTCCTTTCAACCTTAGGAAGATTAAGATTAGTGCTTGTGCTTATAGATTCGTGTTTGCTAAGTATTTTGTATATGATACTTCAATGGAAGCACTACATAATATAGTTATAATAATACACTTATAAGTATCGCTTATTTTCTTTTTGACAGTTTGAAATGTAATAACCATAGATAAGCCGTCACCTATTCGATTAAAAATAACCGTCGATTTTATTCGACGAGAGTTTAATCGATTTAAAAATGGGAAATGTTAATTTTAGCTTATATGTGTAATATATCTATTAAACCTTAATAATTTAATAGTGATAGCTAAGATAAAGATTGTTAATACACATTAATCAGTAAAGATTTTAATGTGTATTATTTTATTCGTTTATTATTTACGATCCTAATTTCAATGTTTACGTTATTTGTAGGTCAATACAAGTATTTATACTTAGTAAAAGGGGTTTTATACCGATTTAAAAAAAGTTAAAATCGATTTTTATATTTGAATTAGAAAACATTGTTGAAATCACTACGTAGAATAGACCGTAAGCCCGTACACCGTATAAACGAAAAAGTACAATACTTTACGTTTTTGAACAAATTTTTGTATATTACGCATTGTCTATAGCATTTTCATGTTACAGCTGTTTCATATATTTCATTTATCGATGTTTAATAGTGGTATTGTTGTGTTATATTATTTTATATATTTTTCTATGATATGGTTCTTACACTGTGGCAGTAGGAGGTCATCCAAATCCATACGAGATACAGGTAAACCAGAATAGCGAACATTCAGTTATTTAAGTAATATTTTGGTCAAGGGAGACTTGTTCATAAATCAAATCAAGTATAATTTCAACTCGCCTGATAGTTTCCTTACGGTGAGTCTTTGAGTTTAACATTGGAGTTGAAGAGCAAGTTTTTATATATATTACAACAACTTCAGTTAGGGTTGCATTTTCTCAACCATATCGAAGATTTGGTTTAGGCTTAGATTAATTTAATATGAAAATCGATTCTCAAATACTTTTCACTAACCACGTTTGTGTGTCTGAACTAGTTCATGTATCTCCTATGGATTCGGGTATTCTTATACATCTTCAGGATTAGTTCAAACTAAACACTAGAAAAAATACCGAAATAAAATGAAAACCAGTTAGTATTTATTAGTAGATATTTAGATTATTAACATGTACAACTATAAAGTCTTTATCGAAGAAGTATTATGCACTATTTTGACAACATTATGTATCTGCGCTTGGTATCTATTTTATAGCTAATACGAAAGTAAAATTTTACTTAGTTGTAAATACGTGTTTGTGCTGTTCCTTCATGGACGTATTCTTTTTCCAGTTCTATGCAGCAACAGGGTGAGCCAAATGACAAAAACCTACAATGACATCGAAGCGGTAACACGGCTCTTAGAAGAAGTAAGTTATTTAATTTGCTAATATATTCCTATGAGACTTAAAGGCGAACTCTCGTGACACGTTTTTGTCACAACATTCGTGAATTTATATGTTCGGAGTTGATCTTTATTAGTTTTCCTTAAAATGTTTGACGCTTTTTACTATTTTTTTAGCCAAGTAGACATTTACATTAATATATCATTAGTTATGGAATAGAAACTAGTACAGTTTCCTCCGATACGGGTAGGCATATAGACTGGATTTACACTTTTCTTCACGTTTTGCAGAAAGAGAAAGACTTGGAGCTCACAGCTCGCATCGGTAAGGAATTGTTATCTGCCAATGGGCGTTTGGAGGCACGTGTCACCGCGCTCGAAGGGGAATTGCGAAGTGCACGGGATCTTGTCACGCAGTTGAGGCACGACCTCAACGCTAAAGCGGATCTCTTGCAGGTAAGGACAAAAATTTGTTTATATTCCTATTTGCGTGATTTCACAACACATTAAACTGATAAAACGCGGCCCTGGTTTCTTTATTAGTACCTTATTCATGTACGCGACAAGTAAATATTAATACATTTACTTATCGCGTCTTATTTATTTCTACAACTTATTTCCCTAGTTTCATATGTACGGACCAAACTCAAAAATAAAGTAAAAAAATAATATTTAGTCTTTCTATTAAAATAAAACTTTTTATCATACTTTTATTCAAAATTTTATCGGTTTATGATGAACTCTACAAATATGTTTCAATCAAGCTGATATTATGGTGAATGAATGTGATTACGTACAGGTGTTAACAAATGACACAGAGGAAGGCTCTTCTCCGACGGAGCAAGAGGCGGCCAGCGCAGCGTTGCTGCGCAAGCGTACGGGCGCACTGGAGCGGGAGAATCGCGCACTGCGAGACGAGGCCGCGCGCCTCGCCGCTGGTGCTGATTGCGCTGAGCTGGCAGAGCGACAGCTGCTCCGCGACATCGCACAACAACTCGGTAAAGCTCCTAGCTTAAATTTTAATTCCTAAGCATTTTTGTTTGTCTTTGTCTCAATCAATTAATTCCATCTCTTTTCAAAATAGGGCTTGAAATGGAGTGTTTTTTGACAAATTTTCAACAACAAATTTTAATGTTCTGCGGTCTGATTTGAGTTTGATTCCTTATTGCCTTTACCTCAGCATGTGCTTAGATTTAGAAAGCGGCTTGACAACGTAATATGTAATAGCTAATACAAGAGATACTTTGTTCAACTCAATCACGACATTTTCTGTGTAGCAATAAAGTTTTAACGTTTTTTTTATCAAATCATAATGTTGTATACTTAACTATACACACAACCTTGAACTGTTACTCAGTAAACATTTTCCGTATACTCGTGCAATAAAATGCTGTAGTTTCTGAGGTCTTTAACATAATACAAATAAACTGCCGTCTGCGGACGAGTTCGGTGCATCTTCGACGACCGTCATTGTTCCCGTATGCTGACATCCATGCACATTCAATTGAAATTGTATAATAAAAACGTTAACATCCCGGTTCTCAGTCGCAAAGCGTATCAAACGCTAAACTTCCTATCTACATTCTCAAGGCGTTATCCACAGTTCATTACAAATAATTGCAGGGAGTTTCACACGATGTTTTTTATATTTATATAGTTCTATAAATGTTTTTGGTAATAAAATAGGTAAAGAGTTTATTTTGTAAAATTGATTTAAACATAAATTTGACTAGCAGTAAAACGATGGTTATAATCAGTGAAGAATGATCGCTATTTAGTAGACTTTTATTTATTTATTTAAATACGTAACACACCAAGCGTAACATTACAACAATTTTGCAGCGGCTTTTCTAATTAGAATTGTTCATTCTTCTTTGGTATGAATATGAATATTTTTTGAAAGCAACTGTCAATGTCCGAAATTGTAGAAAATTATTATGACAACTTTACCTGGAACTATATGAGAAATTACCCGTACATTCAAGAAAAATTACAACAAAAGGTTAATTTTTGTTTTGTTTATACTTGACGCTATCTTCCTTGTTTGTCGATCAATATTGACTTATGACTTCTTGAAGACTTGAATATCGCAAAAGTTATCAAAATCATATTTTATGTTAAAAGATAGTCTCTAATGTGTGGAAAAGAAAATTAAGCTTCTTGAGTTTTTATTCGAGTTAGTTTACGTGTGTATAAGTGATCTTAGTACGGTACACCCAAAACTCAGATTTTTTAGGCTGTGATCGGAAGCTCGGATATTTTATTGCATTAGTTTCCTAGAAGTTACTGTAACATAATAGGTAATGTACTCTTAGCTGTAGAACAATTCGTTTCCTCGAAGCAGTTATGGTGTATAAGATTTGATTCTTGTGTGTGCCAATTGGTTCATTCAGTACACTGACGTAATACTAGTATACTTTATATAATACATTGTGTTTACCGCTTCCGTGCTTGTTATGTGTTTAAAGAAAGAAAACAATTGTATTAGTTTCTTTCGTTTAGTTAGAAGGACGTCAGTTATCTTTATCGATCAAATAAAAGCGACCTGTATTTCAGTCTACTAAGACAAATTTGGGTTATCTTTATGATCGATTACATATTATATAGCACCAATTATTTAAGATTATATAAATTAGTATAATTATTTTTAGTATTACAGTTTTATTTAGAGCATAATTTTCGAAGAACAGCGATTAATACATCGGTTCGGCATTTACTTATCGCACTAATAATATAATACACCATATGATTATATATATCTTCTTAAAAGCCTTCAATGTCTTAATATTGGATAAAATTAAGGGAGCTGTAACATTATTATCAATAGAAAATTGAGAATGCTTATGTTGGATGTGAAATGTCACGATTACGTAATGATATGTAGATGATATTTTACAGAGTTACTGGTTAAGTCGACCTAGACAGACAGGAGATTGTAGTTGCCATCTTGTAGATTTCACTATGAAACACCATATCCCAAATCTAACCATTTTCAAGATATTGGACTTTTAAGTTTTTTATGAAAATTGCCAAAATTTTGGCTAATTTAATTATTTATTTATTTAGGTCCTTTACAGCTGATAGTAAGTACATGTAGAAAATTTACAGAGTTTTACGCCAATTACGAAGTACACAATAGACAGGCAGAATAAGTAAACAAAAGGGAACCCATATTCATTAGTGCCTTCATATATTTCATAATATATTTTTTTTAGAACCTATATTCTCTTTTTTCCTTTTGCTAGTTTTTGTGTCGTTGATATATTGTTTTAAAATTTCCATTACCAAAATTGTAATTAACTTAACAAACTGGGCATAGATTTTTTTCTTTAAAAATATCTATGACAGTTAAATAGCAGATGGGTTAAAGAACGTGTACGTGCGTAGTACTCAGTAAAAACTGCTTGGATTTTTGGACTGTTTTCTTTTTTATTCGTGACTTACTATTGTTAACTGGACTTTGATTTGTCCTTTGGATACTACTGAAGATGACGACCTATACGTATGAGCAATATGCTGATATTCTGATTTGTCGCGGATACTGCCAATACGTTTCCGCACGAGCCACCCAATCACCCAACCACCTCTAACAATCCTCTTCTCACGATAATTAGGATCCAGTCAAGTTATTTGACAATACCGAACAGTCTATCTGAAGCGTCTTTGTGGCCTCTTTATCCACGTATTAATACGCGTATTATTAGGATTTGTCAGTGCTTTTGTCGTTCAATGATTAACTGTGGTAACTGGTTATACCGTGTTTACAAATTTGGACTCATCTGTCCATGAAATATGTCTGAGAAATAAAATAAATCTGCAGAAATCCAACCTCTTCAAAGGATCTCCCTGGATACCTAATACTTACGAGTACTTACTTACCTATATGCATTGGCAGTATCCGTAAGAAATCAAAATATCAACATATTCCTCGTTAGTCCAGCTAGCAATAGTTAGTCACGAATAGAAAAAAAAAACAGTCCAAAAATACAAGTGCTAAAAATATTGAATTACCCAAAATTTTGCCAATTTTATAAAAATCTTAAAGATATCTTGAAAATGTTTAGGTTTGGGAAATGGTATTTCATAGTGAATCTAAAAGCAATGATGGCAACTACAACTCTCTAAAGTATCAAGGTCTACTCAAACAGTAACTGTATATTAAACGTTAAATTAGTATCTCAATGATTAGAAAATAACTGATGATTTTCAAAGGACAACAGATTTTCTTGATTTACGTTAAGAACGCTCACTTAATAAAAATCTGTCCGTCCATCGTTGATTTTCAATTACGAATGTCGATTTCATTATTATACTTTGATGACTTTAGGTCATCACGGTCTTCTGATAAGATCATTTTGCAATATATTAAACATTGTTAATTCTCTGATAAAATATTTGAATAATTTTATACCGAAGTCACACGAATCAAGCGTGATAACACAATTATAGATTGTCAAGATAAGTAATGAAATGCGGAGTAATAACGACGGCAAGTATGTGAAGTAACCAGAACTAAATCAAAACTGTATATTATGTTGTATGTATACAAGTATAATGTCACTATTTAACTGCAAATGTCATGATTTGTATTTTACACTAGCGAGTGGCTCGACATGGATATACGATACAATGCAAGTGCCATTTTTTTTATTCATGTAAACTATAATCTGCAGTGTGAGGTAAAGTGCATTTTGATTTTATACTACTTAAAAACTACAAAATAGTTCACCCCTCTCACTGTTAGCATCTTATAATTTTGTAGATAGCACACCTGCATTTAATATTTTATACGACATAGTAAAATAGATTATGACAAAGATTGTAAAACGTACCTAAATAGTGTAAAACCTTAAAAACTTAGAAATTAGAAAACGCTCTTACATATAACGTTTGATTAGTCTGAATGCAACCATTACTGAACAAAGATATTTCTCTATATTACTTTGGGTATTAAACGGTCAAGAACAATAATATGCAAGTTGTCTGGCTTACTACAGTTCTCTGGGTAAATACCGTGTACATTATTTAATTACAATACATTAGATATCCTTTAAGATAGTTCTCTTTTTTCCACTCAGTACTGACTAACGCCCAAGTGTGTGCATGGATATTTTTTCTATGAGAAATCAACTAGTTGAAGAATATGAGCTTGTTGACTCAAGGTGGCCTAGCAGCGTGTTTTCATGTAAGACTTGCACCCTGTCAGACCATACTTGTTTCAATTTGCCTCTAATCATCGCTGGAAGAATCGTGAAGAAGAATGAAGAAAATGTTTATGCGTGCTGTGTATTTCTTTTTAGTAAATAAACCACATGTTTACTTACATAAGAATATTTTACGACTCATGTCGTTACGAATTTTATATTGTGATTAGTTTTTTCAGCTTGAATGTAGATGGTAAATGACATAAACGTCTAAAAATTTGTTTGTGTTGACCACTTGTCACGATTGCTTAGATATATTATTTTTGGTTAGCACATGAACGTGGCAAAGATTTAATTCACTGACATGATTGTTTAATAGTAGAGATAATTGTATTGGAATGAACTGTCGACAATAATCGATTGTTATCGAAAACTTGTTGAAGTATGCAGCTTCACTTACCTTACCTTCCATGAAAATGACTCATCTATTTATACATTATACATTTACTTGAGTGTTTCATTTAAATGTTTTATAAATTCTTGAAATATTTTGGTCAATAATGGAACCAAATTCATTGTTAACGCAAATTTTACAATAATTATTATGGTTATAACAACATGTATTAACTATTAATTTCAACACTAATGTCGAACAGGCATAAGTTACTATTACGTAAAAAAAATATTTTGACCCATTATGGGTTTTAGGAACATTACCAAAAACATTTTGGGTAAATTAATATATTTTGAGTGTTAATGATGAGTATGTGACTGATGGGATAGTTTGAAGTCAAAAATTGTTCTTGTATTTTGTTTGGTCTTATCGCAGCAAGTGCAAATTCGGAGGCGAGTTGCTTGGGGGCAGAGTTATTGGAGGAGCGCGCGCGTTCAGTAGATTTACAACAGCAGTTAGACAGCATCCACACAAGACTCGCTACAAGTGAGAGAAATTATTTACAGGTAAATAATTTAATTACTCTTTCCCTACCGATTTTTTGAGATAAATCTTTGAAAGACTGTGAATTAATTATCTATACTAATATTATAAAGCTGAAGAGTTTGTTTGATCTAATCTCGGGAACTACTGGTTCGAATTGAAAAAATATTGTAGTGTTGGATAACCCATTTATCGGGGAAGGCAAGGCAAGGCTGAACATCACGCTACCACTAATAGAAATCGAGCATCAATAAAAAAATTGCATAAACGGGGACAATATATTCCTTTTGAGACTAGCTAGTTATTAATCACATCATTACATCAACAGCCTTTAATAGTCCACTGCTGGACATAAGCTTCTCCTTAGGAAGGAGGTTTAGCCCACTATAATACGGGTTAGTTATTAATATGCTTAGAAATATACAATTGATTTTATTTGTAGTAAGCAAGTTTGGAGGCTAGACACAGGCATTTTCTAGTGTCATTTGTTTTATCAGTCTTATATCCTTAAACGAGGCTAGGCTATCATTTCTGGCATGACAACGGTTCATATTAGTAAGTTGTAAATAAACTAATTGCCCCGGGAACGATCGTTGCGCGATGTAGGGTCGGTAATTGTCTTCGGAAGATGTTGTTGAAATATGTATTGTTTTTGCTTTATGTTGAGGTCACCACGCTCGTAATTGATACATTAAGACATTATAAGAATATAGTAATGTGATGTTTTGAAAACAAAGTACCTACAATAGTTGTATAATTATCGACGCATGCTGTATGTGCTATAGACCTAAAGACATATATGTGTGAACATGTCTACATTTTAAACACATTGAATTGCGCGTTAACGTTGCGAGTTTAGACGATTGAAAGTACGCGCTGTGGGAAGAAGACTTGCTATCATATTTAACAATTTTTCATACCATTTGTATTGCTGCTATTAAATGTATCTAAATGTATTTTTATACCTATCATACCACTCTCTAAATAAATGTGGTATACTTAAGCCAATAATAACTTCCTAGACGAACCTTGACTTAAAACGGATCAAGTTGTATAGCGAATTTCTATTCAAGATTATTAGATTATCCAGTCTAGAACTTAAGCTGCTTACAATAGTATTACGCTATCTTCCAAAGAAATATAGTGCAAAATGTTCTAAAAAAATACCTAGTATGGGTTCCCTGAATTTGTTAAAGTTAAAGTTAAGTTAAAGCTAAGTTAAAGTTCCACAGATTAGCAAATTCAACTTAAATTAGCTCCTCAGCTCTAGTAATTATTAGTATATTTAATAAAACTAAAATCATTACATTGTTTATTACAAACAATGACGGCATAATTACTTTTATTTATAGAGTGTATTGTTGTTAGGGCTTATAAAATTACTATTAGAGGAATTTGTACAATTTCCTCTAGCATTAGTTATATCTAATAGCTTTTTAACAAGTGTTAAATAATGTAGGTAGTGACAGCTGCTTCGTTATAATCATCATCAACAGCCTTTAATAGTCCACTGCTGGACAAGCAAATGTTTGTTTTAAATTAACCATGTTGAGTAATGTATCAATATTTAAGTCTTCTCGAACACGAGATGATAAACATAATTAAATTGATATATATAAAGGAAGCTACGATATATTTTTGTAAAGACTAATATATACTCAGAGTATGTGGTTAGTTACAAGGTGAGATTTTAAATATAATTCTTTGTTACAGTTATCTGGAGAACATGAACACACGTTACGGATATTAGAAATAACAAAAGAAAATCAAAATGCTCTCGCTGCGGAATTGGCCGACACAAAGGTACAATAAATATATTCTGAAAATATTTTACATGATTATTTTGTTTGTCAATAGATCGATTAGATAGCACCATTGACAATTATTCAAATAGCTAAACGAACAAAAGTATTTTATTGGATAGATAATTTTATAGTTTAGCGTATGTAGCAGATAATTCAGATAATAAACATGTGGCTTAACAGGCACAACAATAAATACTTGATGACTGACTCACAGATAAAAAAAAGCGCTTGTCGGCAGTAATTGTAAATTGTATTACAGAAAAAAATATACCTAATGTGACAGATTTGTAAAGTAGTTGTCAATGTACCCATTTCATTATGTGATCTATGTTCATCGCATCGACACTTATTTAATAATTCAACCAAAAAATATAAAAAATTTGTATACTTAATTTTATCAAATTCAACAAAGTATAAACAACAATAATATTGACAGAAAAGAAATAATATATTAATATTTGGTAAAGAAATAATTATAAAAAAAAATTGAACCCGATTGCATCGTTGCTGGCGGTGGCCAATCATGGTTCAATTTGTTATATTAATGCCGAGACCCACACTCAATGTTTCTCCTTCAAAAAGGGAAATCAAAATCCCAGAACCCGGTCACAGCACCACAGTTTAGGTACCGGGTCCAATTGCGAGTGTAAACCATCCAGGGACCTGATACCAAACGCATAGTCGAGTAAAGCGTTGTTTTAATCGGTCCAGCAGAGAAGTTCAATCACGAATAGACGAGTACACAAACAAAGATTAACTACGATTTGTGTGAACAACAGCAAAAAACTCATTGAAAATGGTCATTAAAATCCGTCCGACCGTTTAGCCTATCAATTTTTTTTTGTGTTTTTGTCTATGGATGGTTTACATAATCAATCATCTTTTTTTGCGATAAAGACATGTGACTGTTCTCATTTCGAAGTTCAGTATCAAAATGTCCGAATTTAAAAATTATTTCTAGAAATACCATCAAAATTTGCGTTTTCTCCACCGACAAGTGCACTAGGTTTTTTTACTATTTATTTTTGTTATTAAAAGGTTCAATTTAATTTAGTTACATTTTCAAGTTACTCTACAAAGTACTTTGATAAATTACACAGGAGCGGTACATGGAGGTGGCCGCTCATCTGGCAGAGGCTCAAGAGCAACTCCGTGCGTTGCGCAAGCGAGGCGAGCCGGTGCGCGGCCTCATGCCAAGTGTTGCGGCGGCTGCGGGGCTACTGCCACCGAGCTTACACAGAGAAATGCACTCTTCTATATACTCGGAGCTCAGCCTCGACTCGGGTATCGGCGATCCACTTGCACAGTGTGTATAATTTTTTTATATCATTATCAGCTTAGTTAGTTGAGCACTCAATTGCACCTGGCGGTCTTCTCTGTCTGGTCTAAACAATAAAGAAAAAAGAAAGGTAGATTCGACAAAATTATAGTAATAATAATTATAGTTTGGGTATGGGTTAAACAACTACATAACTATTTCTCTTGTTATCTTTGTACTAATATATGTTTATCTCAACGTAGTTATCATATTTTTATATTATTTCCAGATCAAGCATGCACAAAGTGTTTGAGACAGTGCAGTGCGCATCACGATGGTCAGGCCAGTCGGGTCCCTCTCTTCCCGGCTCAGATGTGGGCGACGGTCCGTCGGTCGCGCCGATGCACCATCGACCGCCGCCCAAACCTTCCAGTGACTCTTTCCTTGATGACACATCGGATACCGACTCCGATGATCTATATCCGTAAGTATATCTTGCCTCATCTGTACTACTTGTAATAAAGCTAGCAAGTATTTGGGCTTTTTTGTGCCCTGTTTTTTTGATGAAGTTTATAGGCTAGTAGTGAATTGGAACACAACAGTGACCCTATACACAGGTTAACCGCACCGATGAATTGCTTTTTAGCACTTATTGAATAGTATAGACGAAAGCTTTTTACTTCATAGTAAATTACTTGGGAAAGGGTATCTGTAGATTGACCTAGACAACATTTTGGTGAATGGAAATAAAGTATTGTATTTGTATTTATTGGGAGCGCATATAAACTATTTTTACAATTTTAAATATTACAATTCATTTATTTACCTATAACATAACTACATAAAACCGTATAGTATGAAAATAAATCTATTAAATACTTCTTAAGTAACTTAAGTTACTCCTTTTAATTTCAGCTATCTATTAGCCAAAGTCCCGTATAAGTCTGATTCGAACCTTTCGAAAATAAACCAATAGAATATATATATAAAAAGGAATATAAATATATGAAAAGTATACATATAAAAAAGAATATAATAATATCATCAATAAGAAAATTCCATAACGATTAAATTAATAACTAAAGCTTTTTAATAATTGCAAAGGAGGAAACGGTATTGAACTGCTTTGTCTTAACTATTTACATAAAGACTCAGTAGTTAGTGGGCGGTTATAAAAGTAGTCTATAATGTTTAGCGGCGGCACGGGGGTGGGCGTGCCGGGCGCGCCGGGCGCGGCCGAGCTGGCGGCGGCGCTGCGCCGCCTCACGCCGCAGGAGATCAACTCGCGCCGCGCCTCGCTCGCCGCCTCGCACGTCTTGCGCCACGTCAGGCGACCAGGTAACTGTACTATCCACGATGCATGCCGAAAAGTAAAACATTGACTTGTAAATTATTTTTATTACGGATGCACTTTGCATTCTTCATTCATTCTTCGCTTTTCGCTCCTTATTCATTATGAAGTTTGCTTACAAAATAGTAGATGTCGGCTCATACATTCCACATATATTTTATTCTCATGAACTGACTATAATTATGACATACTGCATAATACACTATTTTTTTATCTATAGACAGGGATTCAAGTGAGGAGAGTGCGGTATGGGGTGCGGGTGCGGCAGGCGGCATGGCTCGCTTCAGGTCACCACACAAGCTACAGATAGTGAAACCTATGGAGGGCTCGCTCACCTTACACACGTGGGCACAGCTCGCCAAACCTTCCATGTCAGGTATGTAAACTGTTTTACAAAATATCTGTCTACTGTTGTCTTGTTGCTCACAGAGGTAGGGATCGGAGTTACATATTAAAATATCTTAAAGACAAAATGGAATGCAGCTTTGTTTATCTCTATGTACAGGTCTTCTAGAGGAACAAGAGGGTGTTGGAATTAGAGGAAATCGTTCGGCAGGCGCACTCGGCTTGAGGTTATACCGGTTGTCCGATGTCGAAGAGGACGACGACATGCCACGTCTGCCGCACTCTAGTCATATTTATACCTTCACTAACAGGTTTGTATTTTACAAAAATGATTTTGTTATCTTATATGTTATCTTATAATTCAGAGAGCTTAAATCGAAATTTTTCAGCACGGTGCTTCATCCGAACGACGGGAGCATAATAGGGAGCAGCACCAGCAGCGTCTGTACTAGTGGCATGAGCAGTCTATCGAGCAGCGTGCTGGGCAGCGCCTGGAGCTCGCGACTTACTTCCAGACGGTCATCCGCCGGCGTGTCTCCCGTCCACTCGCGCCGCGAGTCCGTCTGTCTGCCTCCCTCACGCGCACATTTCTCTACGACCGCCACGCCCGCTAACAGTCCTCTACTGGGCTCGCCGGATCAAACGCCACCGGCTTCACCGCGACCCGGCGACGGTCCGCCCTCTCTTCACGCACTGATAGCTAGCGGCACGTCTATCCTCCGTCGCCGAAACCTCGCCTCGCCCGCCGGCGACAGTTCACTCGCGCAGCTCTCTCTGCAGACGCCCGGATCTCTGTACACGGGACTCGTCCACCGCAGTCCTATGGAACAGCTCACCTGCCTCAAGCGCACGCTGCGCTCGCCCGCGGCCCAGGCCGTCGAGCGGCGCTCCTCCGACGTGTCGGAGACCCCTTTAGGGGTCCCCGCCCACCCCGGGTCGGGCGCGCTTGACGCGCCGCCGGGCAGCGCGCGACGCCCGCCCCGTGCGCGCGCGCCGCGGCCCCGCAGCGACCTCGGCACGGTGGGCGGTAGCGGCCGGGGGCTGGCGCAGCTGGGAGCGCCGCACACCACTCCTCCCGCGCCCAGCCCCGGGGCTCTCGGCACCTTAAGTTTACTGTTCGGCCGTAAGGGCGGTCTGATGTAGCTTTCGATAATTTACTTTCTATCCCTACGATATATTGTATTTAGAGATTGTTTATTTTATGTTTTGACGTGTTTATTTTTGGAACAATGTTGTCGAGTTCGAAGGAGCTCGAATGCATTTACGTGCGAGTGCGTCCTGATTTTCGTATAGTTTTAATCCGTGACCGGATTACATATTTTGTGCATATCGAACTAGCCCTAGCCGGTAGGGACGCAGTCGGCTCGCATTTTTATTAACAGTGGAAAGTTTGAATTTGTTAGAAGCATTCGACTGATTTTCAGAGGTGAACGATTAAGCACACGAATTAACATTTTTATTATTATTTAATTATTTATTGATCCAAATAATTTTGAAAAATGTAATTATGCGAATGAAACAATCCTGAAGCAGAAGTCTGTAGTATTATAATTATATAAGGGTTGTAAAATTTATTAGGTTAGGGAAATAGTGAGACTTAACACTAGTTTTTGTAGGTGCTTTATAAGTAATAATTTTTACATATTTCCAAACCTCATCTCATTGCGTAGTATTTTCATGCTTATGATTATTACTATTCCTCTAGTTATAAATTTTGTATGTGTATTGTACATAATTGAATTTCCATTAATTTAGAAGAGTACAAAGTATTTATGTTGATAAATCCGATTTAGTGTAATTCATAATGAATAAAAGAATATCAATCGTTTTTATTTCGGAACTACGGTACGCGTTTTATACATCAACAATACTTGATGAGAAGGTGATAAGCACAGAGGTGAGTGCTCTTGCTTCGACTTTTGTTAAATAGTAGTTATTAACACGGGGTCTGAATAAATTAATGGTGCATGCCATAGGTTAAGTAGAACTGAATTCATTCTTAAATTAATTTGTTTATGTGCGTACTTCGTTAGTATTATCTTACATGTTCGTGTTAACAATCAGGGCTGTGATTCCTTATGACCACAAAATAGTAATGTAACTTGACCGACTACGCTAACAAAGTAATCGTAAAAATGATTCAAATAAACATGTAAAATACACGTATCAAATATAGTTTTCCTATTGATGGCTAAATGATGCTGATGATACACAAGTACCCTAAATATGATGATGATAGTTGTTAATTGTTCTTTATAGTCTTAGATTTAAACAAATTCCTAACGAAACAAAGAATCAACTGACCAAATAAAATGAGTTCAGTTCAGTCCTTGGCGTTGGATAGAATATCGAATCGCCTATTGTAATTGGTTCAGTGGTTGCAAGTAACGCATACACATAATAGCTTGTAATGTCCCCAACCGTTTCTTGTCCTGGTCATAATGAATCACTAATAACTTATTATTTTACTTACAATTTAATGTTAGGTTACTGGAATTGGTGCTAGATATTGGAATTATTTCAGCCAGTTATTAGCGTCGGTTTTATTTAACATTACAGAAACATAGTAAAGAAGCAATGTAATATGTAAGGGCTGTGAGGTGTTTGAATGTGCTATGGTTACATGTAGTTATTAAAATCTGAGATTACAATTACTACAGTGAGGTAGGCACAAACAGTGTAGTCTAAGTAATAAATTGTTGATATTTTGACGATTACGAAAAAAACGAAAATGATTGTAAAGAGATAATATAATTTATTGAATGAACATGTTTTTATTTTATTTTTCCTGTTACCAAAATCGATTTGCTTGTAAATACAAATCAAATAAGTCAAACTAAAATTATAAAAATGACACTTAAGGGCTTATCCTCATGATGTGTGGTATTAGAATTATATTGGCAAAAAAAGTTTATATTTGGAACTAAAAATAAAATGCACAGTAAAAATATGGTTGATAATGGCTGCTTTAATCGTATACAGTGTTGCAGACATTAACGCCAACTTCGGAAATAACCCGTAAGTATGTAGTACAGTACAGTACAAATCAAGAATTTACACATGCGTGTTGAATATAAAAATAAACTAAAAAGTAGGCTCTATAATATATTAATACAGTAAGTGCATAGCAGAAATGATTTCAGAATATGTGAGTCAAAATGCCAAGTGTACCATGCCATATCCAATCTCATATCATACAAAAAATGTGCATAAATTGTACTAAATTTTAATAATCCCTATGTATACTATGAATTAATATTTTATAACTACTATAAACTTCATTTTCTAATATTTTCGTTTTAATGGAGGTACATTTTTTTAAGTATAGGTACAATACAGTTTGTTTTTCGGTTCTGTATTGAGGATAGGAGATTTGATTTTTTATGGTACACTCGCTGTTTTGACTCTCACTTAAAGTCACTAACTCTTACAAAAGGCAAACAGTTACTGTCCGGGTTTTAGAGTCTGAGGGATACAGTGGCCATCACAAAATATAGTTTTATAAAGTAGCTTTACAAAAATTGCTCGTTTAAACTTATTAGTTTGTGTAATTTAAGGTCTCACTAGATGGCGCTTATTATATCGCCATATCATATCACTGAACCCTATTACACATATACAACTAAGGTCATAATAAAGTAATTGTTAAGGAACGGCTATGGGAAAAAATAATAGGTATACCTAATTAGGTGCACGTACGATGTTAACGCTGTAAGATTCCCTAATAGGGAATTTGCAAGTATTTTTTTTATTTTTTTAAACGATTCTACTAAATATTACATTACCAAAAATAAATATAATACATCCGAAATATAAACCGTTAAGCAAAAAAAATTTATTAAAATCACTATCATTTTGGGGCAATTTGAACACGTCCATTTTGGCGCGCTTTTTTTGTGACGTCAGATTACACTTTCAGAGGAATTCGATGTCAACAACGGAGTGAAGTTCACAAAGTTCCTGAAAGTTAATAAAGTGAGTGATAAAAATTAACTTATTACCATGGAAAAGCCAATAAAAACTTATTATAAATATTGTGCCGTTCCTTTGTGTCCAAATAATATCAAAACTGCACCTGACAAAGTATATTCAGTCATTGTGTTGAGTCTTTCTACAAGAGAATTTAATAATTTAACACTGAAAACGTATTAGTTATTAACTTAAAATGAAACAAATAATCACCAGAAACCAAATATTACAAATACATACAACTTGTTGACACTCTTGACCAATGCTCTTGACAGTGTAGGTTGACGTCATGTTTTATTCAACCAATAGCGTTGCGTTTTAGAAATTTGCGAGGGAATCTTAAAAAAGCCAATGATGATTAAATTTCACTGTTAAATTATGATAAATTTCAAAAATAATTGTATGGGTATCTTTTTTAGCAATAAAAATTACAAATAAAAATATTTTGTCCATTTCGGTGTCACGTGCATATTCCCTATTGTCGTGTAATCACGATTTCCCATAAAATATAGGCAGATCCACATTCATTTTAAATTTTGATTACTATTCAATGGAAATAGTTTACAAGGACTTCATTCATAAGCAACAGACCAAAGTTTCATAATGGTATCAAAGTCGTCATAGCAACATTGTTGTCAACACAATGTCTTACTATGGTTTTTTTTCACTGACACCAGCGTAATAGTGCTTTGTTACAGAAGGCAAGATATTGATTTCAATTGAAAGTTGTTTCTGATAAGCATTTAGCTAAAAGAAAACCGTTTAAATAATGACAGAACAAATGAAATATATTGTGAAAGAACTAAACGCGACCATTGGGAGAAACTACGATTTAATAAAATTCGACGCTTTGAATGAGAAACAGCTTTTACAATTACTAGTGGATTTACTGGTGAATTTCAACGCTGGAGAAAAGGTAGGTAACTAACCTTGACAAAGAACGTGTTATGAACCCTTACTACCTTGTAGTTACACTTCACTAATCGACAAGTCATCGAAATAAGTGTGAAAAGGTTATACCAGTTTCTATACAGGATTTTGCCGAGTACCTATTTTTATAGGAAAGATGAATTTAAACTTAATAACTCGGTAACCATTTCAGTCACTGTGATGTAAAATTGAAGGGTTTGACCGGTGTTCTAAGGCCCAAGTGCGAGTTTATTTCTCATCTACTCGATCGTCACTCGCGCTCGTTTTCGAGAGCGAGTTGATGTAAAATAACCTGCACTTGGCCCTCTGTTCAAGTAATTTTACTCATATAACAAACGCATTTGAATTCGTATGTTGAGAATTGCATGGATAGTTAAAAAACCTAGCAAAGAAATCCATGTTTGATCAAGTCAAAATCACAACCAGCCTATCGACTACTGCTAGCAGAGAATTCTCAGATACTTTGAAAATACCGCTAGAAATGGTCTAGATCGCCTTTTCATCCCTGTAGGCAGAGTAGAGGGAAAAAGGTCATGACGGAAGGGCACCTCATCGCTGGTCGTATCAAGACAAGTTAATTTTGAATCTCCCAATCACGACTGCGCTATCTAACAGGCTGAAGACACAGTGTGATGGAGGAACCTAGTCAAAACATCTACGAAGGAGTATCAAATCAGACACGATCCCGGGGTTTTTTTTTTATATATAATTATATATAATATCATATATAATTATGTATGGAAAATGTATTATATAATTGTATATGAATTATATATAGTTATATATAACTATATATAATTAGATATAACTATATATAAATATCTCGAGCGACTATATATAATTATATATGATTATATCTAACTATATATAAAATATATATAATTATATGTAATCTTTATATAATTTTATATGAATATATATAAATTATATATGATTATATATAAAAAAAAATCCCCGGGTCATCAGTAATTGAAGAACGCGACTAGAAAGGAAGCAAGGATATTATATTCTGACTTATATTTTATACTAACATTAGCATTGAGTTAAAACAACACTAGAGAAGCAAACCTCATTATCACACGTCGAAAAAAGTGTAACTACTTTTGAACTTTGACGACGTAGCTTTGATACCACGAAACATTTGAAAGTAAACATATTTATAATTAATATTATTTAACGGGAATTAACGCGATCTCTTATTTAGGGTATTACATACCTCTGGTTTGCCTGACGTTTCGACCAGGTTGCACCGGCCGTGGTCACAGGCTGACTGAGTCAGCCTGTGACCACGGCCGGTTAAATAATATTAATTATCATGGAACGCGAAAGTTTAAAAGTTAGTAAAACATATTTATGTCTCATTTACACGCGAGACTGGAACAATACCATCGCTCGGATTAGACAAAGACAAAGACATAACTTTACGATGGTGGGCCAGTGTTGACTACCGTATGAAATTTTACCCATAACAACCAAGAAACAATTTTTTTTTAAAACAATTTTGTAATAAAATAAATTAATTTAAATATTTTAAATAATATATTTCGAATTGAATGGAATAGGTATAAATAATAAAATAACTAGAAATATTTGGTTAAAAGGGTTTATATTCAGTGTAAAATCAAACTCCGTTATGAAGCATCAGTTTTGTATACAATTGTCTTTTAGACTCTTTTTTATAAGTTTGTGGGAATATTTTACTTTCATGATACAATCTTATTTTTACCTATGTATAAATAATGGCATTTAATAGTAAAAGTGAATGATCAACTTGTACTGATAATAAATAATCCCCAAATTGCAAATTCTTTTAATATTTTAAAATACAAATAAAAAAAAATATATATATATATATTTTTTTTGTTTTTTATATTTTTTTATTTATATTTATTTACTTTTTTATTTTATACCGTTGTGTAAATATATATATATATATATTGTACAATTGTTATTTATATTTGATAATTAATTAAGAAAAATGAATGAATGAATGAATTAATTCTTTTATACAAAAGTCTCCAGCACTGCGAGCTTGGCAGAAGGTGAACGTTCAACGGGTCCCTAATAAAAGTGATCGATTCAGCCCTAACAACTACCGTTCTTCCTATATTTTATTATTATTGACAAAATGTTTAAAAACAGTATAAAGCATATTATTTCATAAATTATAAATTCTCCCAATAATGTGGGAAAACAAAAATGATTTTTTAATGGTAACACTGATTCTAAAGTAAAATTATCAATGTTTTATTTCAATTATAGCCTTATTTACGATATTATCAATACAAAAACCACAAACTTACACGTGATAAGTAATTCCGCATGATTTATTATGGTTTTGTGACCTTGAATCGCATTCTTTCACTACGCATTTACCCATTTTGGCGATTGTTACTGTCATGTGTCGCTATGTTCAACTCGGTTGACGCCACATTGAACACTGAATTGACGTTTGCTACGCATATGCCTGTGGACAGATGTGCAGTAGCAACGATTTTAGGCGGTAATTACTCATCTATGTAAGTATTATATCAATGAACATTAGCATGTAAAGCAATGATTACTAACATCATTTTTTTTTTTAAATAAATTATAATAATTATTATTAACAATAAATACTTTAGGTGTCCCTATAGAAGGCATGATCAGTAAATATCTACTTTAAATAAGATATTGACAATGATATTATTTGACAACAGGAGGCCATCGAACACGAACGAGCTCCTGTAAATAATTAAAGGCTAGATAGAAAACTCTTTTTTGTACACCGTTTTACAAGTAGTAGGTATGGGAATGTATAAAGGGCGGCCTTATTGGGCAATCTCAAGTGCAATCTCTTTAAGGCAACCTTAGGATGGATTAAAATGTTTTGGAGAAACAGTAGTGGTTGAAGGTGCAATATGTTTTGACGGGTAAATGGGCTATTATTTTATTTTGGTTCCAATAACAGGTCTCTCTCAAACAAAAATGATTATTATTAAAGCAAACAACGATTTCTAAAATAAAAACACTCTTAGTACGTTAGCGATAATATACCCGTCTAAGAGCATTACAATAAATGAACAGAACAATTTATATTTTTTCTTAAATCACGGTAACTCAGTTGTATTTCTGAGAAACGCAGGTGTATTCCCTACAAAATTGCGCTGTCCCTATAAGCAACTCACTTCAAAAACACTAAAATTAAATTTAAATATTTAAATAGTTATTAAATTTGAATATCTATAGTAATAAGCAGTTGTTTGAACTTTACTACAACACTGATAAGTATCATTTCCCTTTAGAATTTTCTAATTTACGAAAAATTCCTTGTCTTGTCCCTGTGGCTAAGTGAAAAATCACGAACACTGTGTTATCATACGAAAATAAGTCTTTAACTTAGCTTTTTGTATACCTCAACGTCAAAATTCGTTTGTTTCGTCAACAATTGCTAGCGGGATGCAGGGGGAGTGCGTATCCTTAGAATTGGTCGAACCAGTCGCGCTAGTGTCGGCAGGAGAGGTGCGTGTGTTTATTGTGAAACCGCTGAGTTACGGGTGATAAACGGTGAGTTTTTTAGATATTTGATAATTTTATTAAATTCATCTGTATGAGAATGTGTCCATTTTTGAATGGCATTAAAACATATTTTTAATTTATTACTATATGGCTGAAACGTTAGAATATGTATAATTTTTACAACTGTGTTACCAACACACTGCGTTACTACGAGAAGTAACGCAGGTGTGGCTATAGTAACGCAGTGGTTAAACCTTAAGGTTTTTACTCATTATTTAATAATTTTATATTTAAAAACTATTTAATTTTAGATTGATTCGTTACAGTATACTATTCCCAACATAATGGCTTCAACACTGGCTGAAAAACAACGACGTTATAGGGAAAAATTAAAACAGGACCCGGTCAAAAATGCTGAAGCTAAACAAAAACATCTTGTAAGATATCACGCTAATAAAAAACTTGTAAAAGACATGACAGAGAGAGAACATAGATCTATAAAGCATAAATGGAAGTATGCAAACAAGAAACGTAAAGAGCGCCAAAAAATTGCACAGGTCATTTTGAATAATACACCAGCTTCGACGCCACGATCAGGAACTCCCCTTTCTCCACGCTCTAGAGGAACACGACAAGTAAGAAGAGACAGATCGACATTGTATAGGCAAAATATAAAATTGAAGGCAGAAAATGATAAGCTGAAAAATAAATATAATAAGTGCAAAAAAAGATGTCAAAGACAAAAGAACAAAGCAAAAAAGTCGGAGAGCGGAGACGGAGACAAAAAGTACGCCACTTTATCTAATGCCATCAGAGACCATTACTCCAGAATAAAGACTCTAAGAGATCGATTTACAATACGTCGCATTTTTGAAGGGAGTATCATACAAAATCAAAAATGAAAGGCGATATGTTGCAGGAATGTCTCGGTATTAGCAAGCTAAAAAAAAGACCCAGTTCTAAGTACATTAGAAGCTAATCATCCACACATAAAAACAATCCATGTCTTCTCCGACGGTCCTGCGACACAATATAGGCAGAAGATAAACTTTCATTTCATCTGCTCAAGAACAATCAAAGAGTATAACTTTGATCGCATTACCTGGAACTTTTTCGAAGCAGGTCTCGGGAAGGGTGCGGCTGATGGTGTTGGTGGCTATCTTAAATGAACAGCTGACCAAAAAGTTGCTTTTGGCTTAGACATTCCTGACGCAGAGACATTTTTTCAAGCTTTAAAGGACGCCAGCAAAATTCAGCTACATTTCATAACTAATACCGATATTGCAAAGGTAGAGCAAACTGTTCCCAAGGACATTATCCCTCTCCGGGGTACAATGCAGGTACATCAAGTTTTCACAGAAAATGCAGGAGAATTGCACTACCGCGATCTTAGTTGCTTTTTTGAAAGGGGTTTTTGCGGCTTCTTAACACCTAAAACCAATCAGCCAATTCCTGTCTTTAAAGAAGTATTAACTGATATTACTAATCTTGTGACCAATCCCAAGAGGTTTTATTACGAAATGGTTTATTCTTCGACTTGGAGCTCAGATGATAAGCCTCTTTCAAAGATTCAACTTAAAAAGGAACAAGAAGCTTCAGTTTCTAATATAGATGAACGAAAATTAATTGAAAAGGAAAATTTACATCCATCAAAAGTATCCATGGGTGTTTACGTTACAGTCAAAGTTTCCACTGACAAGGATAAAACATACTTTTATCTAGGTGTCGCCCAAAGTGATGTTGACGACGAAGGAGAGATCAAGATTATGTTTTTAAAATCAGTTGACGATTCGGGGAAGAGGTTCAAAACTAGTAGAAAAAGATGTTTCATACGAATCATATGTAAATATTTCAGAAATAGTACCCAATCCCAATCCTAAAAACATTAAGAAAGTTAGACGTGTATATTACGAATGTGACTGAAAAGACAAAGGTTTTTTTTTATGTTTATAAATTGTTAATTTGAGAAGTTTCATTTTTTTTGTTTAAAGAAACGTTTTGTTTATTTTGAAATGCTTTATTTTTGTTTGTATTAAGTTTTTATTAGTTTAAGGTGAAGAAAACATGTTGGGACGTGAAAAATTTACCACTATGTAACGTATCGAACCACTGCGTTGCTTTTTTGTCCCTCTTTTTCTGGAAACGTTTGACGGTATAAAACTAAAACTACTGTTTCAGATATCCTAATTTTAAGAGTTTATTGTTTATTTGAAACATTTTAATTGTCTCTTTAAATAGTGAGTTCAAATTGCTATTACTTTTTAATTTTTTTTTAAAATTACAATTGCTTAAATCTAAATTAGGTAACAAAGTGGTAAACTTAACCATATAAAGAGATATTGGACTGAGATAATTTGTGATTTAATATATAAAATTATCATTATCCTATCTTAAGTTCATATGTGATAGGTTTCCAAGTTGAGGTAAATGTTCCTAACAATAAAACTTGATTTTTCATGAAAGTAACACAGTTGTTGTTTTTCTGTACCCCTCCTAGTATAATAATAAAATTAATGAAGAAATAGTAAATAAACATCGCTGCAAATTGCTGTAATATATACTTAAAACAATAATTATGTTATATCAGTATAAAAAAGTAACAAAAAATAACATACTTAAAATTATATTTTCTTGTCATATTTATTCATTCTGGGCCCCAAAATAAAATAATAGCCCAAATACTCGTAACTATGAACATAAAAGAGGTAAAATTAAATAAATATTTACACATAAAACACATATTTATACATACCAAATATACAAATACATACGATATACATACATATATATACATAACTAATTAAGTATATCACATAAAAAAATAAAAAAAAAGTAACATTCTTTTCATGTCTTAACACGTAACTGACTTAAGATACAGAAAATTCTAGAACCATTTTCTAAAAGCTTTTTATCGTTTGCGCTCGCCTGATGTTTATCGGCAATGCGTTCTACAAGCGTACAGCAACAGTAGAATAATGGTCAAAAAATTTTGTAGTATGCAGAGGCATCTCCAGCCTCAAATCCTCGGATGACCTCAGACATTTTTCATGTGTGTCATTAAGGAACTTGAATCGTTCTTTGAGGTAGAAGGGGGCTCTAGGATTGAACAAGATGTTGTAAAGTGAGGATATGAGTATTCCGGTGAGAGGGAATCGGATGTTACTTGAGCTTTTGACGGCATTTAGAAACATGATCATATTTTCTTATCCCAAATACAAATCCTAGATCTAGATCCTATAGATACAGAGATTTTGAAGTCGCTCAAGCTTATCAAATTGTGCTTCAGTGAGATTTAAATAGCTGTCATCGGCATAATCGAGAATTGGGAGGAGAAATGCTTAATCAAGTGCAGCCTTAGTTGCAGTCGGAAGAAAGTTTCTCGTAGTCTTCGCAGGGACCCTGCAGAAGCAAATAACATACGACTGACTTCTTGTATGGGTGGACCCCAAGATAAAGTATTATCTATATAGGTAGATCCTAAATTTACAAAAACTGTTTACAAATTTATTTATTAAAAACTGATCTCAAGTGTGGTGCCATCGAATTGAATTAAGAAAGTCATTTGGCTATATAAGAAAGTCATTATATCCTGCTAACTTTGTCTGCAATAGTGTCGGTCGGGTTTCAATCTGCACTACAAACAAGTTCGAGGAAGTAACCACCCATAACGCGGGGCTGACACGTTTGGTATTCCCGACAGCTTTATATTTAGCTCCGTCATGTTTATACCTATTCGAACAGAGGCCCAAGTGCGAGTTTAAATTTACTCGATCGTGACCGTGACTGCGTTCGGCGCTGCGATTGGCCCTTACTAAAATCTCAACTAATCTCAATGGCGAACGCGCTCGCTGCCGAGAGCGAGTTAATGTGACATAAACTCTCAGATGGCCTAGTGCAAGTTTATTTCACATCAACTAGCTCTGATCTTTAGATATCTGTTCACAATAAATTACACTCTAAGTAATCCAAAGAAAACAACATTGCATCTGCACACTCACGTTCCTAGAGATACCCGTAGAGTATCAATAAGAAATGTTTACTTCGGGTGTCTGTCTTAAATAATCACGTGACTATTTATTTGTAAGTGAAACCGCAATTTTCCCACTTCTAAGCCGTTTTACTAATTTTGTCCATTTCAATTCGGTCTTTCCAATGTGTCAGTTCTGGGCTAGACTGAATTGCGTTTTTAACGAGTCTAAGTTCTGAGGAGTTACTGCTGCGACTTTGCGTGGTTTCGTTTAATGAGAATCTGCATTTGGGCGAATATGGACATTGAAATATCTGTTGGTGGATACAGTCGTTGTCTATGGTTTTCATCACACTAAGCTACAAAGCAGTTTTAAATAGGATTTAACGGACACCGCACGTTGTATTCACTGTCTTATCAACCACCACTCTCTATTGCTCCACATCTTTCTACTAATTTGAAGAACTTTATAGGAGTAGGAGATTCAAAGTAAAAACTTAGAAGGTGAAGGTGAAGGAAAACTAGTGATTATGAACCACATAATGTCGGTGTCATGCCTTGAATACTCAATCGATCATCATCAAATTTTTGTTTGTTGCCAGGGGTACAAAAAGAGTGTTACCCAGTAAGGTTTTACCCTACCTATTACCCCGAATAAAAGCACTGCTTCCGAGGAAAAGGAAAAAAAATTAGGGCGAGTGAAGCCACTGTTATAAGTTACTATATTATAAAATACTGAGAAATGAGAGAGCTTTCGCTTATCTTTCATATCTAGCATTATTATTTATGTCACCTCAACTAATAAAATATCTCAATCCGCAAAAGGAGATTTAAGGTGATTATTTAGGTTTATTCCACTATGTTCACCTGGGTGAAATAAGTAGATTTTTTGGTTTCCTTATTTCGACTTGGAAGTTATGTGGGTGATAAAAGTATACAAGATGAATAAAAAAAAACGCATTTGTTCACCTGGGTGATATCACCCAGGTGAACATAATGGAATAACCCATTAATTTATTATTGCATTAGAAACCTCGTAATTAAATATTTCTTTAAATACGACGTCTACATATTTAGCAACAATTCAAAAGGCATCGAGAATCGCAAAATTTGCTATCATGAAGACGTTTTGTATTAAAATTAAATTGATTACTAGTAATAAAGAGAGAAAGAGGATTCTAAAAAGTTATTCAAGTCTATAATGTTATCGGTAGGAATCGTAGACGTAATTCGTTATCAATTTTGGAACCGAGCCGTCAGTGATCAGTTTTTATAACTTGCATTATTGGTAGCTAATAAAACTGTTTTATGATTACAGTTGGATGTAAACGAAGATGAGTCTGAGACGGTGTCATTGAGTTTGTTAGAGATGTTGGGTAGCGTTAAGTACCGACCACCGGCAGGCGTCGAGCCTACACGCTTCAGGGCGCAATTGCTTGCTGGAGATGCGAGGACGATACATCACGTATTACATTGGCTCCTCACTAATAAGGAACAAGTGAAGAACACCGCCTATCTAGCCAAGTACGTATTAAATGAAATTTTCGTATAGTAATAATAGAAATGAAAATTAAGAATTCATTTCCAAATAGGTACTTAATTACCTACTGCTGTAACTGTAGATAAAATAACAGTGACAGAGTACAGGACGCATTTCGCCATTCAATACGTAAATATACCTAATTGTATTTGAATTTGAACCATATAAGAAAATAATGTAAGTGTTTTTTAAAGTATCTACTTTAATTTGAAACCAGCCGTAGGTATTTCCCACAAGTTCAACATACCTAGGCTAATGTAATGTCTGATGCTTCCTTCTTATTTATAAATATACAAATATATACGTGTATCTGTATATATACTAGTATAAGACGTGTTCCAATACAAAAAATATGTAAACTATATCTAAAAGATGTGAATAGTATTCGACGTGTTTGTCAATCCACCCACGTTGTTAACTCTTTTGTACAATTTCGTTTGTACTGGTCCAGTTAACCGAACAAATATTGAAATTCAAAATTATAAACAATAAAGAATTTTCACCCTTGAGAAGACGAGTAATAACCGGCAATAGACCTTATATGGCATTTAATTTTATTTTAGAATCTTTTAGTCACGTTGTTTGCATTACCCAGTCAACATACATTTCCACCAAGAATATTACGCTATAAATAATATGAACTTGGTTAGAGATTAACTATAACTAGGAACTATCGAGTAGGTATCTACGTGACGAGAACGCTAAGGCGAGCTAACTTTTACACCGGGGTGTGCTATATTAGGAGCTTTTACGTTCCCTTTTTTATAGACCCCGTAATTAAATAATGGCTCCAAACATTTATGGCTCATTTATTTTGCTTATACGGTATACCTATAAGTTAAGGATTATAGCCGACACGGCAATTCAGTTCGTTCAAAATTAAATCTTGGCTTAAACATGGTTAATGAGCCATAAGATTAAATCCGCCACATCTTTTTAGCAGTTAAAACTTGTTTAAGTCTATTTCAGGAGTTTTCTAAATAAGATAACTTAAAATGCCATAGTACACAGGCACAGTAGTTTTCTCTAGGAATGGAAATCGTCAAATATAAATACACTTACACCCAGAGGCGGATTAAGTGTCAAGAGCGCCCTAGGCAATCACATCGGCGCCCCCCGCATCTCACTGTTGGAATCGAACCTACTAAAATCACACGGTGTGTAAAATGGGCCTGAAATAGCAGGGATCCGATAACAGCTTTTATTAAGACGTCCGGACCTTTCCTTTCTTAAGACAGAAGGCCCCCCAAGCCTGCTATTGTGCAGGACGGAGGTCTTTCAGCGACCTCCGGCACCTAAGCCACCTGCAGTACCTGGCCCGTTCCAGGGTTGATGCTACCGAGCTAGAGAATCCTCACCAATCCTCCATAACGGGTCTTACAGCGCTACCGGACTAAGTACGAGCCCCATATATCTAATCGAGCCCTCGATCTGTGGCTCGATCGATCGATACGAGTGCCTCCTACTGACTAAATCCCTTAGCTGGCCCCTCCGAGGTTTAAGAAAGAAAGAAGCCTAAGACTTGTGCACAGACACCTCTAGACCCAACCGTTGGCATTTCACACTTACTGCACGCCATAAGTGGCGCCGTAGCGACACCACCCAAGGAGGCATCGCGGATCACCCAGTCGTAGCCGATGTTCCACAGGAACGGCCCTCACAATGACCTCTGCGGAACACCGCACGACATTTCACATCGACCGAGACCAGTCCTAGTTGAATAGATGATGACTTCGGACCCCTCCTGCCCTGCAAGGAAAAACTCTCATGTAGAAGAGGTTCGCCACACGAGGACATCACTTCCTCGCGGTAGGCCTTCGAGGTGAGTGGAAGGTAAAATCCGTCTACCTGAGGCCACACTAAGGCGGCGTGAGGCACTTGAAGGCGCGTTAGCCGTGGACCGTGTAACGGCTGGTAGCGAAAAATCCTCTCCGAAGACTGCAATGAGCGCCGCGTTGGTCACTGTGTGCTGATCCGAGTTGTCACTGCAGTCGCAGTGGTGACAGGCGCAACTCAAATCACTCCTAGCAATCAACTGCTGATAGTTCCTTAAGCAGAAGTCCAGAAAGGACCTACGTCCTACCTACGAAAGAAAGATTCCCGTGCTGTCCCCCTGCCCACTATACGATGACAGGCTAGAGCGCCTCTACGGCGCCATAGCCAGTACCCGAATAAGCAACAGTTCGACCAGGTTTAGGTTTTATAGTAACTCGAATTTGCTATTGCCGGATAGTCCGAGCTTTCTTACAGATTGCTTTATTATCTTATAATACGAGTATATCGCTCTTCGATCGATCGTAACACTTTACAAATGATTAAAAAATTGAATTGAAATACAGTAATTCCTGAACTTAAAGTTATTAACCGAAGGTAAAGTCTGATATATTTTTGTAGGTATTTGAAATTACCCGACATACCACCAGATGTAATCCGAAACAATACCATACAGGATCTTTTGGATCTTTATCAAAATTTGATCGATGAATTTAAGGAGGTTCACAAACGAACTAGGATATTGCAAAAAGAGAATGCGTCAGAAATAATTAACGACATCAAGGAAATGGCGGTCGAGAGAGACATTGGTAAGAGATCAGGTGTAACGACTACCCTTTCTTACAAACAATAATCATTAACAAAGGCGTATTTTCTCAACTCCAGTAATTATCGTCAAGTTTTGACATTTCAAATCTAAATGCAAATTGTTGAAGATACTTCTCACCCAAATGTAATTTAAAACTTACTTTTACAACTAATTTTACAGTAATAAAGAGATTAGAAAACGTGCAAGTTAATTTAGTGGATGTAAGTGACAAAGAAAACCTATTAAATGTAAGCCGAGCTTTAAGAGTGCACCAAGAAAAGGCAAAGGAGTTGGAAAATCAGGTGGAAAAAATTATAATATTTTATATATATAATATATAATTTATTAGAGAGATCTACCACCTCAGTAATGAAACAATTTTATTTATTTTATTTATTATATTCCAGTACGATGCTCAACAGTCCCAATTGAAAATTGCATCTGACCAACTAAAAAGATATTTGAATGTCATCCATGGACAAAGTGCGTCTCCTCAGACAGTCAATGATGTAATGAAGCGCTTACAAGAAGAAATACAGGTATTCACCTTGTCTATACAAGGTTTTACAGAAAGGTTTGGTAAATTTTGCAGTGTTATCTGTTGCCGACAGATAAACCATGAATGGAATATAATAGAAAATGAAAATTTTCTAAATTAAAGGGAAAACTTTAAAATTGTTATGACTTTCAGATAATTTCAATGGCTTTTTAAAAATGATTATCAAACACATTTTTTCATAATTTTTAGTTGAACGGCTATCTCGTAAAGGAGAAGCTTCCACAAGAGAGCACTCATCTTCAGAGAGAGTTAAGCATTATGCAGGGCATCGCTACTGAACAACACACTACACGATCTGATCTAGTCGCTGTTCAAGATAAGGTAAGGTACCTATTTTACAGAATCTATTTTCTTTCATGAAATATGTTTTTCTGATAGGTTATTCTTAGTATTACTATGTTTACGTGCTCGTGCTCACAACGTTGCCCGATGTATTGACCAGTGGGCCCAGTGTGAATTTACCACCATATCTACTCGATCGTCAAGCTGATTGCGTTCGGCGTTGGGATTGGCTCGCACTGAAATCTTCCCCAATCGCAACGCCAAACGCGCTCGCCATCGAGAACGAGTTGATGTGAAATAAACCCTGTGGTTGCACCGGCCGTGGTCACAGGTTTTGTATAAACGTAGATATATATATTACTAGCTGACCCGAAAAATGTTGTTTTACTATATACATTATTTCTAGGAAATATTGAAAAAAACTGTAGGGTAGGAGGTCACCCTTGTCATTTAGGGGTATGAAAAATAGACGTTGGCCGATTCTCAGACCTACCCGATATGCACACAAAATTTCATAAAAATCGGTCCAGCCTTTTCGGAGGAGTATGGTAACTAACATTGTGAGACGAGAATTTTATATATAAGATTACTGAACGTGAACGTTTAAAAGTTAGCTTCACCTATGTCTATATGACATTTCTTATGGTTTTAGCTTATTAATAGCCTTAATTCATTTCTAAACTAAAACGAGAGTTCACCTGGTGCTCGAATTTCCACCATTTTTAAACATAGACTTTGTACCGTACCTCTTAATTTTTATGTAGCCGTTTATAGATGTAAATTTTTTATAACTATTGTTTGAAATTTTTAGTTTTTTTTTTTCAAATAACTGTGTGCCGTGATACCGCAGGCGTACGTATTATATCTCATGAAACTTGCAAATTTATTAACAGTAGATTCAAGTCATCAAGTCGTTTTTACAGAGATTTCTGTCTGAAACTCGAAATAAGCGTTTTTGTTAAGTGTCGGTCTAACAGATTTTTGAAAGACCCTCGCCGATTACTTTAAAAAAAGTATTATGAACTTACATTAACCTAAATCATAATAAATAGTTACAGGAAATATTCTCCATTCCTTAATTTTCCATCCTCATTGAAATTGATCTAGAATTTGTGTGTAAGGGACGACATGGTAACTGGTACTTCCATAACATATGTACATGCAAAATATAAATATTCACTCTTTGGACGTATAGTATCTCGTAGCCAAGAAACTCTTCCAAAAAAGGAATTCTTATCATGGGTGTACCGTGGATGTATCTTATCAAACTTTCCACGACTGGTAAATGTAGGTACATAACAACGTTATAAAACTAACCGACGCGATGGGTGTAAAACTCTCGACGGTCTCGCCCGAGCCGTGTGCCGTGCGAGATAATTTGCTTTTTATTGCAAAGTTTGACTATTCTTTCTGTTTATTATGTGTACCTTCTGTCTGTAAGTGCTAAATGAAATATATTAAATGACAATGAATCATTTTTGATTTATATAGTTTTTCTGTTTATAAGTAAGCAGGTTTATATCACGAAGTATTTATAACAACGAAAATGGGTCTTCTGTAACATCAATTATCACAAGCAATTTTCAACTTTAATTTTAGTTAAATAAAGTATCCTTCAACTCAATTATACCGAAATATATATAAATAAATAGTTAAGAACATAACAGTAAAAAACTTTTTACTCCGATATTTGTTCTCCGATTTTATACGTTTAGTATCTGGCTATTGATGACTTTTGTGTAAATATTACTGAATATATGTGAAAATAAAATTTTGACACAAAGGGTAGAAAACCTACTGGGTTTCATACATGAACTTGACATGATTCCTATTTACGAAGAAACAGAAACATACTACAGCGCCATCTAACGAAGACACACCGAACGACGGAGTAACTACTGAATCAGAATTGCTAATTCTGTATCGCGAAATGAAAAAATTCTCTTGCCGATTAGCATATACACAATTTCCCAACATCAACCGTTGTGCCGCGGCTCTCCTGGCATGACCACCTCGCCTGGTCGGAGAATCCTCCCTTTGTGTTAGAGGGCCATGACACCTGTTCCTCCACAAACTCATTTGAAAGTTATTATATGTATATGTATGTATACACACATCTTATTTAGTTCTAATGACACTACAAATGGTATGACTGATGACGTAAACAGATGCCAGTCCAGGGTACTCCTCGATGGTTTGCATCAACTGACTCATGTCTGGCTAAATTCATTTAAAAAAATGTAAGTGTGACCGTTGAAGCGAATAAAATAATATTTATAAAGAATAACAATTAATTTCAAAATAGGGGTTAAATAAATAACTAATGATTAATTATTGATGTGTAACATCTTTCTTCTTGTTTTTATCCGTGTGAGTAACTTCGTAAAAAGGAACGGAGGGCCGAGTGCATGTTTTTTTCACATCGACTCGCTCTCGACGGCCAGCGCGTTTAGCGTTGCGATTGGTGGAGATTACAGTGCGGGCCAATCGCAGCGCCAAACGCGGTCACCATAACGATCGAGTTGATTTGAAATAAACTCGCACTTGGCTCTCGAAAGTCAGGGAAGTGCGCTATTTAATTTGACCAATTAGCGCGTGCGGTGTTAATGGGATTACTGTAAGGTTCATTCGGTTTTTAAATTTCAGCCAATTGAAAATACGTTTGTCTATTGAAATAAACCGACGAAACATTAAAATATAAATGAAATTTCATTTTAGTTAAAATCTCGAAATGAAATACTTTCTTTATTTACTAAAATAATGTTGTCATTATTACATGCCAGTATTTCATACCACGATGTTAAGTAACCAACCATCTTCGCAATTTCTTGAGCTTTTTCAATAAAATATTCATAGGACAATAGAGTTCATTCTCTGTATTAAAACTTTTACGATTCTCTACAATTTCTTCAAACAAAATTCAAACACTTTAATGTTACTTTTGGAAAAGAAACTTGATTCATTAGTTCGCAATCTAACAACTTGTACTTAGGGTTTAGACACTAAGTACAAGTTCTTAGATCGCGAACTAATGTTATAATACTTACAATTTAATAATAAAAGTAATTATTATTCTTTATTTCAGACTTTGTCCATATTTTACACGTTTATTTTAAAATTACTTAATAATGTATAATAGGCAATTTAGGAAAAGGAAACCAAATGAAATTAATGTACAATAAAGATCACAAAAAAACCTTTTGTCTGTAATATGGTTATATTTTTGTAAAATATTCTTTAATTCTTGCTCTGTACTTCTTGATTTTAGTGAAAATTAAACATATTGAGTTAATTGATTGGTAGCAGAATGCAGATAATGACTGTTCGTGAATTATGACAGGCTATTGTTCAGTAATAAAGTAATACAGATTATTTTAATTATGATATACCTAATTTTTATAATTAATTGCAGATTGCTGTAGTAAACAGTGAGATGGAGCAGCTAGTACAGCGCAAGCTAGCTATGGCAGGACCGCAAGAAGACAAGCTAGCCCCTTTCCGCCAACAAGCCACGGTGATTCGCCGCAACAAGGAGGCCAGTGCTACTCGGGCACATGAGCTAGCTGCCACTTTGAAAGAACACGAGGCTACGTTAGCAGATTTACAGTCTCAGGTTAATATAAACAAGTCAAGTGAAAAACATTAGCAAAAATCTTTTAAGCCATTGCACTGAGGAGTTTGTGGTTTATCTGGCTTAGAAGTATAGGTTGAATGTACGTCTAAATTGAAAACTAAACCACAACATTTGCTGTTGTAATTTTGGTAGCGTGGTTTCGATAGATAGAATATTAATGTCTAATACACAGATTTCATCTCTAGCGGCATATATTGCATAAATTTTAATATTATATCGTTGTGTTTAAGTACATAATATAAATCTGCACCTATAAATTTATATTGCTTTTTACTTGTAGTAGGTGAGTTTTGTAAACAATTTACTAATTTCATGCAAAATTACACTTGAATAAGTTTCTAGCATGTTAGTTTTCGCACACGATAAACAATGTTAGAATTTAGGTTAGACTTAAAAACTCTTTAAGTTTAATCTATAGTACATTGCCTAGTCTATCACCTTAATAAACTGTTCACAAATAGATACGGCTTTGGTATTGATATACTCGTATAATACAACATTGGCAAAGTCCGTTAATTTCTCGTTCTCGAAAATATCGAGAAACGATACTAAAGCTTATGTGCTCAAGAAAATGTTCTCAATTCGCTCAATCTACGAAACAATGAGACATCGCTTTGTATCGTACACTTTTTTGTCAATAGATGTTGTCCAAGAGCCCCGTCTGTTGCGATGAAATTAGATAATATTTTCAGTTTGTGATGTGATGGCGCTGAACGTTATTGTTTAGAATTAAATCGAAAGTCTGATGTTAGAAACGTTTTGAGGACGACACGAAGATCTCTGAAGCTTTTTCCATTCAAATAATTGGCTATTATGTCGAGAAGCGGATCTTCTGCGATAATGTACTATACTATCGTCTTCGAGTCTGATATTTAAAAATATTTTTGTTTGACTTATTGAAAAGCGTATTAAAAAAATTTATTTGCATGATGACTTTTGGACATAATATGGCCCCATAGCATATTATTTAGTATGTTTATGATTAATATTTTTATTAGTAGCTTCTGCTCACGGTTTTGCTTAATGTAAATTTTCTAACGCGGTTTAGGTAACTTTACAATATAATTCACAGTAACCTCACCTCAATATAACACACACGCCGTCTAAGCCCAAACCCGACAGAGCCTTTTTTTATCGTTTGGAAAACCTTATGGGATACCTCACCGGGGCTATCGGTGAAGCCCTATGTCGGACTCATATCGACTAAATCCACACGGTGTGCCATACTGCGCTTGAAATGGTGAACCGTGCTGCGGCGGTATGTCCTTAACGATCCAATGCACCCGCGGCCACACTAAGAGCAGCAACGTCGAAGTGCCACCTTGAGTTTAAAATCAAGCCTCATTTTTTTTAATGATGGAGCGGGCAGACGAGCAGACGGGTCACCTGATGGAAAGTGACTATCGCCGCCCATGAAAGTCTGCAACTCAGGAGTCACAAACGCGTTGCCGGCATTTTAGGAAGGAGTACGCTCTTTTCTTGAAGGTTTGAAGGTCGTATCGGTCCGGAAATAACGCAGTCGAAAACCCGTTCCACAGATTGGTTGTGCGGGGCAAAAAGTATCTCGAAAAGCGCACAGTAGTGGAGCGCCAACTATCCAGGTAATGAGGATGAAAATTTGCGGCTGGTATTAGTCCGAACAATTCCTTGGAACACTCTCCATGATATATGCGATAGAGAATGCAGAGTGAAGCCACATCTCTAAGTATTTAATAACAGGCCTGACCAGTACAAGTCCCGAAAGAACTTCGAGGCGTCCAGGGGCAGACTTTGATGGGCCCATGGAAGAGAATGGCCTCTGTTTTTTCTAAAGCCTAAGCAACCATAACGCTTTGATACATCTGACTACTTGTGATACTCCAGCTGTAGCCAGTCGTGCTACTTCATCAAAACTTCCCCCTCGGGCCGTCACAAAAGTATTATCAGCATAACATATACACGAAGGACCCAATCATACCCAATGTTCCACTGGAGTGGTCCGAGAACTAACCCCTGTGGAACACCGCACGGCATTGCTGCAACAGGTTTCCTTCACTATCCTCGTATACTACGCGTCGAACCTGCAGAAAATCTGCCAGCAGTCACCTCAGGCGGAGGAGTTCGTAATGTCGAGTGATACTGCTAACAGCATATCGCCGCAGCTCACCGCCTCTTTTGATGCCACTTTCAGCCTCAAGATGTCGTCGACTGTTGATCGTCCCTGCCGGAAGCCAAATTGAGCGTCCAACAGATCGGGGCCTATTGTCGTTAGTGCCGAACGATGCGAGCAAAGAGAATTCTTTCAAATAGCTTACCCACCTCGTCCAGTAATACGATCGGTATCGATCGATACGGTCTGTAGGTGCCTGTACTATAATATAAATGGGTAATTTTCACGAAATCCCGAAATTCAGCTATCTTAAAATGACACAAAATATTGAAATTATTTGATAGTCATTTTATGTGAATTTGATAGTACTAATGTTACTAGAATTAAATTAGTTGTTGTAATTAAATTAATGAAATTAGTTTTCTTTCAATGAAATCTTTTTATTGAATGAAATTTTGTTCTTAAACAATATGTAAGAGTAATTCCAGCAAATCACAAAATTATTGCAGCACTTTGGTATAACTCTAATTTAAACTTATTTTTATTTATTATGGCACTTAATTAAATAACAATGACAACATAATCCTTGCTAACTTAAAGATTCATCTAACAGCATTTTTAACAACAGAAAAACTTCTTATTTTAAACTTTAGTCTCACAGATAAAATGAATGTTTAGTATCAAAATCAACAAAACAAAATCTATAACACAACTGGCTTTTTTCCAAACAAAAAATACTTCCTTTTTAAGTAGGTACTATTCAAGAGTGAAATAAAATATTTTTAAAATTTGTAATCTTAAACGATTCAGTATCAAAGTTACAATTAAAGTCTTAATCAGATATTTTAAACTAGTTGAAGTCTTTTATAAAATAACAACCCTTTCTGATTAATTTTGGAGGCTCAATCTTCCTCAGAATGTCATGCCAGGCATATAACTGTTCATCTCTGATTTTAGACCATTTCCAAGATTTAGTTCCTCTTTTCATACACTTTACTAAAGCGCCTTCCTCAGAAACTGATATTATTTCCCCTGGGTAAACATTTTCGTCCCATTTGATAAGTACATAATCACCAATATTATAAGTGATATTATTGTCCGTACAAATAATATCATTTGACGAATGTCCATCTTCATAAGATTTGTTTCTTGTTTTTAATTCAAAGGACTTTGGTTTTTCAATGCAACTTTCGTCAAACAAGAACTTTCGTCCTTTTCCAAAAAATTTTGAACATCCTTTTTGACCTTCATCAATTTAGCACTGACTTTCCTAGAAACGCTCTTTTTGTAACAATCGTGTTTGAAAAACTGTTTTGATAAGCTGAGTAGTTTATGCTTCTTCAAAAGATCGGGTTTTACTATTTTATAGTACTTTTTCTTTTCACTATGTTTCTTTAAATTACTGTACCTGTCTTTTAGCTGTTTAGTAATAACTTCTGATAGAAGAAGCTTCTTCTTCACAATTTTAGGAACTTGGACGTTCTTTAAGAGAGCTGATGCTTTAGCTTCCGGTGAAGTCTGATTATTTTTGTTTTGTCTTTGACATCTCTTACGGTATCTCTCTTTTCTTCTTATTTCTTGTTTCAGACTTTCCTGTAATCTGGATATTTTTGCATAAAGTATTCCTCTACGTCTTCTGAGTTGCTGCCTTCTCCGATCAACTGCCAGATTTCTTAATTCATCATTATTTTGCATAGGTCCTGGGCTAGGAGGTGGTGTCTTATCTAACAGTTTTGCTAAATTTTTTCGCACTTTCACTGTTTTGTCTCTATATGTTTGGCTATTTTTCTTCCTGTTTTTCCTTTTTTGCCTTCTTTCTCGGGAACTCATTGCGGATGTAGGTTTTACTTGACCTTTTTCTTTTTTTTTAGGTATTTAATTCTTTCTTTTTCGCGAAGTATTTCAAGTGTTACAGGACCAGCTTTCTCTTTTTTTCCTGCGCTTTCGGTCATATTCTTGCTTTTTTAATTTAGCTTCTTCTTTGCTTATCTTTTTTTTCTTGACATTTTTTAACCTACAACAATATTGCAACAATAAATTCAAGAGTTAATAGAAGCAAACAATAAAAAAAAGCCAGTTAGCCCACCCAAAAATCATTCCCTCACATATCATCATTCCCTCACCATAAATTTTTATGAGGGAATGATGGTGAGGGAATGACGAAATAAAGAATAATCGTAAAGGACTCGTTACATAACCTTACGTTTAAAACGATTTTTCTGCTTAAGGAAATTACTCCCAAAAGCCATCTTATCTGTGCAAACATCAAATGTTCATGCACACAAATGTTTGACTGGAGCGGGAATCGAACCCGCGACCTTTGGAATAGCAGTCCGTTACACAAACCACTACGCCATCCGGTCGTCAATACTATATTAGCAGTCTGCTGATACTTATTGTAAATAAATTACACCCAGACAGAACCTAAATGAGCTTGCTTATCGCGCAATTATTTGTCTTGGATGGGAATCGAACTCACAACCTCTGTCTTAGGAGGGAGGATCACTAACCTCTAGGCCAACAGGCCCGTCAAACAACAGTACTTTTTCTGTACCTCTGATAACACGTATGTCACATTTCACAAGGATGGGTTTAATAGTAGTAGTTAGGCGTTAAAGTGTAATAAACATTAAACAAACCCACATTGAAATGTATAATATTCGGTAAGTGTTTGTTTGTTGAGCCATATAGTTTCAAACGAAGCAAAGCTTTTACTATGAGAGTTAGAATGAGAAACCTCTATGTCATACAGAAATGTACTGAACTGAATAATTTTGACGTTAACTAAAAAGACAAGATATTGATTACATTAAAATTCAAAGCATTATGTTATGGGCTAGGCGTATTTTGATTAATGTAAACAAAAAACCACATTGTACACTTTTCATTTCGCCCATAAATAAGAAATCATTTATAGAACCCTTTTTTTTGGTAAAAATAGGTCAAACAACTCCTCGGCGACACTGTCCTCAGGGGAGAGGAATTAAAGAAGTACGTCAATTCCTTGCGCACAAAGAGCACTGTGTACAAAAGGCAGAGAGCCAATCTCTCAACTTTTAAAGTAAGTTTTTTTTATTCTTACTAAAATTCTTTTTTATTAAAAAGGGATTTGTGAGTCTTTTATTTAAAAACATATTTCAAATATCTATAATTGTGAAAATTAAGGAATGAAGGGAATACTTTTAATTTGTCTCTTGTAGGTCGAGGCGGGTATATTAGCAAGAACTATACACATTATTAGTACATCTGATCCAACTGTCGAAATGGCTTTGGTGAATCACAAAAAACTGAAAATTGAAGATGAAGAAAGTATAGAGAAACAAGACAAACCTGGAGATTTAGCTAAAAAGTCTCTTCATGACTTATCTCAGGTAAAAGGAATATCGTGGGCGAATCCATCATTTATTCATTAGGATATTTTTAAAGTACGATTTTTGAGGGTAAATTTAAATTTATGGACATCACAGACTCGGTCAATGTTTATTTACATAATTTCCGTCTATGTAGGTTCACGTCAATTTTTCAAGTGGAGTGACGTCTAAGATTTATATCTCAGCAATATGGAAATTGTAGGTATTATTCGTATAGGCGAAGTCGTTAATACTTGTAATAGTTTGAGGTTCTGTGAATTAGTATCTTTTACGATTCTTTTTATCATTTGAGCAAAAAAACGTTTCAATTGTGAGATGGTATTGAGATTTACACAAATTTTGTTGATCTAGGATCATACTCTGTTTAAATGAAAAAATAAGAAAGTGAAGTACGTTATTTGGTAACGGTGGTCACCATAGTAGCATAGTACTGCGGTACGGTAATATCAGGTGCTTTGTCTGCTCGTTTGCCCCCCCTATACCATAAAAATATGTATAATACCTATACATATTCATAACATTTCAGTTACTTGCTCAGACAGCTCAAAAGTTATCACAAGTCCGACAGGAAATTCAGCCACTCGCCGATCGCATTAAGCCTGTAAAGGAGGAATTTCAAACCATTCAACAACAATATGAACAGAAAAAAAGGGTTTACGAAGCAACATCAATCAACATAACATCCCAAATGGAGCCTCTCAAGAATCAAGTAAAGGAATTCACTGACCTTTTGAATAGTAAGGAGGATGAATGGAAGAATTTACGACAAAAAATCACAAAGGCTGAAACATTGCAAGAAGTGGTGATGTTTGAAATGAAAAATTCAATGCAGTCACCTAGGAAACCCTCGAAAATGGAAGCTTTAAAACAAAAAGTGTCTGACATGGAGCAAATTGTTAAGCGTTTGGAAGAGGTAGGTATAACTTTACTAAAATTATACATAAATAACCAATTTCTAGAAAAGTTCTCTGAATGTGTGTCTGAAAACATCTTCCTCATTTTAAAGATTGTACAATAAACAATAAAATACTAGCATTATACCGGGAATAAAAACGTTAAATTCACATTTAATGCCTATTTCGTAGAGCCCATGAGGAAAGTGTCAATAAAAACTTAGTCTGTTTTCTTGTAAAAATAGGGATGCTATATATTATATTATGTTAAGAGTGTATATTACTCGTATATTTTAGATTAAGTACAGAGTGAGCATACATTAACATTCTCTTTGCTACTTGTATTAGTCCGAGCCTGAGGAGGTTAATCGCCTACTCAAATATATCTATGCTAATATTATAAAGCTGATGAGATTGTTTGAATGCGCTAATCTCAGAAACTACTGGTTCGAATTGAAAAATTATTTTAGTGTTGGATACCATTTATCGAGGAGGTTGTATAATATCACGCTATTGAAAAATGTTGCAAAAAGGGGGAAAATTGATTTCTTTTGAGAAACAGGCAGACAAAGTTACGCGGGTCTGCTAGTCATACAATACCTTTCGGTTTTGGTAATGTATTTTTATAATTTTAGGAACAACAAGCGATAAGTTCTCGCCAGGGAGCCGTGGAGGAGCAAACACGGTTGTGGGAGAATACTTTACAATTACTTAAATGCAAGATGCGCGCTCGTAACGAACCTACTACCCGTCAAGGACGCATGCACATCACGCAACACTCTCAAATGCTAACCCTCACTTAATAGCTTTTCTTATTTAATATCTTATAGAACTTCATAACTCAAAGACCTTTAACGATTTAAGTTTTTAATGTTAATTATAATACTTATCGCTATGTCTTAAGTTAGTTAAAAGTAACTTTTGTGATGAGATATTGCTAAAATAACTCTTCACGTTTTTGGCTCTGGTGTTTAGCAAGTATTTCGTTGTTTTTTACCAAGTAAGTAAGGTTATAGCAGACCAACCCCCTCCTTATTTTTACTCCAAGGGCAGCAACACGCTTGTGATTATCGAGTTGCCAGTTGTGTCCATAGGAGAAGGAAAACTTGAAACAAAAGGGTTTGTTTCAAGTGTTTCTTCTCTTATGTTTTATATCTTTTTTACTTCTGGAAACCCTATCGGCCGTCACCCCACTGGCGGGGTGCTGTGTCGGAATCGGACCCATTAAAACCACACGGTGTGCCTCTCTGCGCCTGTAATAGGAGAGGTCTGGGAACTGCTTTTATCAAGACATGTGCGTAAGGTAACGTGTGGTGACGGATTAAGAATACGGAGTGTCACCACCCCGTATTTATCCCCTGGGACAGCAGGGCAACAACACTGCAAAAAGAGGGAAAACTTGACACAAACCCTATACCAACCAGCGTGGTAGAGTAGGCCAAAACCTCCTTTCTAAGAAGAGGCCTATGACCAGCGGTGGCTATTAAAGGCTGTTAATGATGATTGATGAGGTGGCCATGGGCGGCGATGTTCACTTACCAGCAGGCAAATATTACTATGCATTTTAAATAGTAATAACTAATACCCCTCGTTCGGTTACTTTTAAAAATATATTAAGGCTATTGTTATTGTCTTCAAACTTTAAAATTTTAATAGCAACGAAGAAGTTATGAAGTCGGAGTCTTAGATGAGGTATATGAGAGTTCAAAGGTGGAATTTATGTACCCCTTATCTAAGACTATGAATATACATTTTGGTATTATGTTCATCCACATAATTGTACTCGTAATGTAGTAAAGTGGTTTGTTAATCTAATATAAAGCTTCTACAATAAAATGTTATGCATATATCCTATTCTGTTCACTACTCTTTTTTCCCAATCTTTTAATAAGTTATTTTTGATTTCTTTACGGTGCTTACACTTAAAGCTAGTATGTGGCGGTAAACTGGTACGCCATTTAACGTACAACATTTCATTATAGTTAACGTAATAAAAATATATAATACAATGTTGTTAGCTTAAGGTAAACACTTAAAAAAAAACTTTGTTGAAAACTGTTTTTAAACATATGATTATTCATTCATTCATTATTACGAGTATCATTACATATTTATGTTAGTCTATGTGGTTGAAAACGCAAGCGCAAAAGCTGCATGCTTCTTAATGAAACTTCACATAAAGCCGAGTTGGCTGAATGTTAACCTTAACTGTATGTTGACAGTGATTTGAAGGTCAGTTCTTTGTCATTAGTAGGTTTTAATTATTTTTTTAAGTTTATTTCAAGACTAATGGTTGGCGCTCCTTCAATCGTCATCATTATCAAATGATGACGATTAACTTTAAAAAACAAGATAATTATTTGTTTGAAAGGGTTTGTTCAATGCTGAAAAGTAATATCCCTTGCCCACCATTGAATTCTTATCTATTTCATTCAATATATTCCCAATTTTACTACTAATCACTAGTGTTCGGTAGGAGGTTTGCTATTACGTAAGTAGGACTAAAATTGTAGATGGCGAAATGTTAGCGTTTAATACATCTCTGACTGGGCTAGGCGGCGATATGGGTGTGAGTGAAAGGGCTAGGTGACGATATGGGTGTGAGTAAAAGGGGTAAGCGGCGATATGGGTATGAGTTAAAGGACTAGGCGGCGATATGGGTGTGAGTGAAAGCGTGTCTGTTTTTAAGCCTGTAAGAAAAATTATAGCTGCTACATGTCTGCTAGATCATGTTTGTTGGATTATTTAAAATAAAATTGTATTACCTTATCACAAAATAGTTTAATTTCGTTTACAAAATTTCACGCTTTGTTATTATGTTACTGAAAAATATTTGGGACGTTGTACAAACATGTACTTAAAAGCAAATGATTAGACAATAACAAGGTTTGACGTCACATTCCTTCTATCCCACAAGTTATCACAGACGAAACCGGTTTGACGTTAAATGAAGTGAAACTAAATTGGCTTGACAGATAACTACCGCGTGTCCAAGTTATGCAATTTTCTGACTGAACTAAAATACATTTTAAAAACACGATTTCTCATGAAAGTCGAAGCTGATGTATGTATTCTGTGGCACAGGTTCTTACCTCTTCATCATCACCTCTACATTTTTGTATATGATTAATTTTAAGGATTTTTGAAATAAAATTAGAAGGCAAGAGAAGACGAGAACGGCCAAGATCAACACACATACAGCAAGTGAAGGAGAAAGTAGGAGTCATGGCCTATCAGGAGGTCCAACAGATCGCAGCAAATAGAGAGGAGTGGCGATTGCTCCACCGACAAGGGCTTAGCTCTTAAATTAAGAGAGAGAGAGATATATATAGTATTATAATAATATATTGTTTAATGCTATACAAATGAATGTGGCTATTAGCTAATTATTATAATAATATACTTTATCTTCTACTTATTCCTAAGTACACATCATGACTTTACCCTTACATTCTCTACTATCCTTTAATCACTCTAAGAGTTAGCTGGAAGAAAGCTCAGGTTCGTGTTAAGCTCGCCTTTGTACATGTAATTTTCTGGTCACTTATGTAATATTAATGTGTGCAATAAAGAATAAATGAAATGAAGGATTTTTTTATTAAGCGATTGATTGATATGTTTCATTTATTACTTACCCCTTTTTTTGGAGTGTGCAAACCTATTTCGTGGTTCGCGGTGGAATTGATTAAAACTACACGGTGTACCATACTGCGTCTGAAATAGGCGTTATTAGGTCAGCTTATCTCACTACCAGTAAGGTAAGAGCTACATAATCGCGTGTATTACCATACAATCATATTAAACACTATGTGACAAAATTGCATTTAACAAAATTAGATATTTACGCACGCGACGACTCGGTCGATCTCACGAGCTGCTTGCAACTTTGATACTTTTTCTTAAATAAAATTATTTATTTTAAATTCCTTTCTTAAAATGTTGATAGTAAGTTATGATAGTTTGTAGTTTTACATCCTTAAGAACATTGACTATATAACTAGGTAGGTATTAAAATGTTAATAACATAAATATGATGTTTATAATTACATATTATTCATTTATTGTTGAACGTCATTCTTTTGAATTCACTATTCTACTATGATTTAGCGATTTATCGATGAAGTTTATTGAAATTAAGTCGAAACTAAAAATGTACATCAAGCATACACTCATGGTTAAATCTCCATAACTTGTGCGTCATTAGGCTTTTTCAAAAAATGTGTGAACTGTGAACCCTTGAAACTTTTATAGCGTAATCCGGGCTAGTCCTTACCGCAGATAATATATATATATATGATGATTTAATTTAATTATCGCTTGCAACACCAGTGATGTCCCTAAACCTATCCGTATTCAAGCGACCGTTATTAAATCATCATTAGAAAACCTTTGGTCACATACCAATAACACAAATAAAACTAGCAACATACTATTACTCGTAAATCCCGATATCGCTTGACGACATAGGACGTGTGTTGGGCCCCCGTACCATTTATATTGATTTTTTCTCCTATTTTTTTATCAAGTAACTATTCTATACATTTTAAAAAAGCAATGTCTATAACCGTTAATTCAAACCTTGTTATTTTTTATGACTTAACACACACAACATCACACGACATGGAACATTGATAGTGTGTATTAATGGAGACGGTGGTATCTAAAAAGTTCACATGGCATTTTGCTATAACAAGTTTTGCGCCTATACTGAAGTAATTTACAATGCAGATGAACCTCTTCCATGTTGCGTGTTCCAACGTGAATAGCTAACGTATATTTAAATGAAAGGTGCGATATACCGGATACCATTAATACCCTTTTTACTGGTTTAAAAGTAGATCTCGAATTCAGCTTTTTCCTATGCTAATATGCTAAGTATGTAGATTTCAGAAACATAATTGAAGACTGAATTATTATTTGGAATTTTATTAAATTCTTAATAATTCTATTAGAGAGAAGGAAAACTTGACACAAACGCTATACCAGCTCGTTTGGCCAGTGTGGTATAGTAGGCCAGAACCTCCTTCCTAAGGAGAAGCCTATGTCCAGCAGTGACAGTGATTTTCTGAATACTGTCATGACTTACTATGAAATAATGTTGGGCAGCCGTTCCTCAACGAGCATCTTGAGACAAAATTTAAATCACACCATTTTTTTACACCGGGGCTCATAATGACTTCACCGGTTGTATGCATACTTACTCTAGTTATATGTATCACCTGTGTTGCCAACCTTTGTAATCTAGACAATCGTACTTAATAGTGTGGTGAACAGTTTAATATTCACTATACCTCGTGAAGCATTCCTAGGAGATCGTATCATACGTGGTAGGTATTCGGAGTTATGCGAACGCGCGTTAGAGACTTATACACAAAGAAATAATAAAACACATAAAAAAATATTTTTTACAAATAAAAGTCTTTACCTCGGGATAACATGAATGTATTCTTTTAGCATTTTCATTCATATTATCACTTAGACTATTTCTGCCGGATACTAGAGAACTGCCAAAAATGGGGCCCTTATCTGCAGATATTGCTTTTGACAAATAGTCAAAGCGATCACTGACGTCAAATGTTATTACATTAGGCCTAGCTACGTTTTAAAACAGTACGCAATATAATAAATTGCGTAGGTTTTGAAAAGTTATGATGTAAATCGCAGTAATTGAGAGCTGAGAGTGGAAGTTAAAACTACAACGAAGGCATTATTCAACGTCACGTTTCATAGAATTATTACATATTCATTAGTTTCCGCTTAATTATGAACTCAAATATTTTATCCCAAAACTTTTGTAATGGCA